TTAGCTTTTTCATTTAATGTTGTGTCTTTTCTTGAGTGGAAAATGGAGGCCGTTAGAGAAAAGAGAACCACAGTACGTGAATTGTTTTTTAGTATATCACAGTGCGAAAAAGATAAATATATATATATATATATATATATTGACTTATTGTTGTTCCTAGGGTTTAGAGTTTTAATACCATGGTCGGATAAACGGTTAGTCTGTCACTGTTTTACGGACTGTGACGCGGCAATTTAGGCATTTGACCTGTAGGTCTCCGGGGTTCAGCTATTTAACCTCAATGCAATGTCTCTCTCCGACAATGTCTGAGCAGGGCCCACAGGCAACAACAGCATATACATACATATAAATACAGTACACTTATAGAACACTTGTACTCTACTACATGCTCCAGGGCGGCTTCACTACGCCCACACACGTTACTCCTTTTTAACATTCCTACGTCTTTTTGTAAGTATACCACTATACAACGTATATTAAATTTATTTTATATATACATATACCAATATAAATACCAGGCTAGCATCCTTATGTACCATGGAACCTTATAAACTATACCGGATGCTCTGTCTCCGATTTCACTTTAAGAGCAGCTTACATTTTCATCTTATATTCAAGTCATCAGATATCATACATTATAAATATATTGTAGTTAACGAATACAGATTAAATTTTCACGAATTTAATTATATATATATATATATATATATATATATATATATATATATATAATAATAGCTATTTAAATTATGACCAATTAAATCGTCTACTCATCCTATTTTTTATGCTTATCACATTGAATAATGCATAGAAATCAAGACTGGGAACCAATAATTCAGACGGTATCCAAAGAAACGATCGTTTCGAAATTAAAAATTAATAATAAAAGTTGAATAAGCAATTTTAGTAAAGTATTTCTACCTCAGTCTTTTATTCGTTCACTTGCATACTTTTTTCTTATCCTTCTTTCGATTTATTCCAATAGAAGCATCACTTTCTACCACATTACGTCTCTCTATCCGGGGCATACGGTCTGAGACAAATACATCATTTACAACTTTAAATCTCCATCCTATTCGGCCAATTTCAGAATCGATCGATTGATATTTGAGAGAAAAAAAAACACAATTTTATTTTTATGAAAGTTATTTATTAAAGAATTTTTTTTTTTTTTTTTTTTTTTTTTTTTTATGCAGAATAAGTTTTTCAATGAAATTATTAAATAATCTGTTGATGAAAATTACCCATTAACTTATCGTTTATATAATAATTTTTTAATAAAAAATAAGAATCACAATAAAACACCGATATTTCTTGACAACTTAACAATTTAATAGGCTCTAGCAGCTACAACGACTAACCAACACACACCTTCTCACGTTTCACGTTTAAACTGTTATTTGTTAATTGTGCAATATAACACCAACAGCAAAATATACAGAATACATATGTACAGTGCATTCGTATACTATTATATAAATATATGTGTAATACTGGTGTATATACCGCATGAACAAGGATAGAATGCGGCTTTATTGTAAGCACCCAGATCATCGCGATTATCCTGTCAACCGTACAGGTTGCTGCACGATACAAATTCATTTACTTATTTATTTTAAAAATAAATAGTTATTTCTCTGTAATACTTTAAATTTTCAGTTTACCTCTTTATTATTTATATTAATCGTTTATGCGAAAAAACGTATATATTTATAGAAACACCGATCTAACATTATTATTATTATTTTTTACCTAAAATAATAATTACAGTAAACCGACAATTGCTACTTGTGTTTACCAAGAGTAGATAATTGAAGATAGTATTTTAGCTTTCTCATCGTTTATCAAGCTTCTCGATGAAAAAATAAATATGGCCGAATTGGTATTTCACATCTATCTATATATATATATAGTACCAATTATGCAGATAGTGCAATTATTTTTTTATTGCTCAGACATATTGACCTTAATTTTTATTTTTTGCAACTTGTAATAAATACTATTTTATTTATTTATTTTTCATCAAAAGTCTTTTTAAATAAAATAATTTTTAATTATTAATAAATATATTGTAGGAATTTCTTGATGTACCAAGTAAAGTAAAAGAGGATATTAATATTTTTGTAGAGTACCTATGAGTGTTTCTGTGAATATGAAATTCTCTCGACACAAAGGGTGAAAAATACTACGTACGTCATATATACAATATAAACGGAAAATGAAACGTCGCGGATATGATGACAATGATAAAAACTCACGAGCCGAAAAATGAATGAAAATTTTAATTTCTACACATAAAAATAATATTTTTTTTTTAATCCTGAGCTGTTACTATTTATTATTTTATTGATATTAATTAAGAATTGTATTATCGGGTGGAAATGATGAGATTTATATCCCAGTGACCAGGTGTACTTTTGAAAATAGCAATTGTAAGCGTAGCTGGTGTTATGGTGTTATGTGTCTTGAATCTTGAATTCAAGTTGGTTGGAGAATAGCAGCAGCAGCAGTTGAGTAGTGGTATAATATGTACCGGGGTTAATTACCCGCAGCGTTACTCGTTACTGTCTCGACGCAGCATGAGTAATGGATCCCGTGCGTTTCATCGTCCAACCGGAAGATCGCTTGGGACTTTAAATCCTTTTCCCAATAAACTAACGACTCATATATATATATATATATATATATATATATATATATATATATGTATGCATATTATGTATACTAAAACTTTTTCATCTTTCTCTTTTTTTGTAATTTTCTATTTATTACATATATACCCAGATTCTAATTTGTATATACCTATACTTTCAAAGTACCTCACTAGATAACTTTAGACGATAAACCACCGATAAGTGACGAACGTTAATCTATTAGCCCAACGGTCCAATCTATCATCTTCTGATACTTATATAATATAGATCAACACCTTAACTCTTAGCTAGTGGAAGAGATAGACTATAGTGGAAAATATTAAGGGATCAAAAAAATACTAAAAATTTTATATGTATATAAATCTAAAGTAGTATATAAATACTAGAGAAATAAAATAGCAGAAGAAATAAGTACACTGCTGTGGCACAGCATCACTGAGTGCATTGAATAGAAGATAGATGATAAAAAAAGCGTAAAAAAGACTTAGATTTATCCGGACTATCTCTACACTGGTCGGATGGTCCAATGAACACGACGCAATGTCCAATGTGTACGAAGCGCGTTATGAATCTCAAACCGTGTGGAAAATCGCTTGCATGCTTTTTTCTATTTTATTTTTTAACCGTGTCAAATGTAGTCATCAGGCATTCAGTGAGTCAGAACATGTTGAGTCTGGATTTGGTATTCACCAAATAGAAAATAATGATCAAAACAAAAAAAAAAAAACACAGCAATAGTAATTACAATTGCCGCCAGTAGCTGGATATATACATATGCACATGTGTTTATATATAGGTATTAAAGACATGAAAAAAAAACAAAATAAAGTACTACAGAGGTTTTAAACTACTACACAGTGAAAATAAAAAAAATTATCAAAATCTAAATAATTAAAATTCGAAAGAGATTAAAATGCTCACAGTAATAAAACATGATAGTGTGTATAATAAAACTTAATAAACATGTGAAAAATACTGTAAAATTATTTAGGATGTGATTCAGGAAATAATAACAATGTCATAAATATTTTCATGTATATATAGATAGATGTATAGGTGTGTAAGTAGTATATAGTGTTAAAGCATCGCCATTTCTCGTTTCTCGTATGGTAAGAGTCGTAAAGCTAACGAGCAAATTCCGGGGATTACGATCTTCTCCAACGGACAATCCGGTGGATAATCTTACATACATATATATATATATATATACACATACACACGTCATACGATGGGATACAATAGTATGAATACTGAAATTTATTTTTTCCGTAATCTTTAAAAGTATAAACGAAACACGGATAAAATTGCACCTGGATACTGATATGCCGTTATTTTGGTTATTTTTTGTTTTTACTTTTTACCTGCAGCATACATTTTGGATCTTCGTATGTGAATCGCAGATTAAGTCAACAGGCTTTTTATTCTATATACATCCGCGTAGGATAGGAAGTTATACATATACACTAGAGAATAGAGAGGAGTAGAGAAGTTACTCTTGAAGCAATAGAGCTGGGAGTGAACGAGTGTGAACGGTCGAAAATACTATTTCCATGGAAATAAGTTAAAATTCTCTCCTTGTCACCTCCATTGCCCTTATCTCTTATCTCTTATCTTTTATACCTGCTTATCTCTACCACCTTTTTCTGTATTTTCTTTTTTACATATAAACTTTACTATTATCATGTTTATACAATATAACGGATACAAACGCATAAATATATATTTGGATTGAATTTTAGAAACGAGTTTACAATTTGCAAAGTCAAAGTTTGAAAAATTTAGGATTTAAAATTATTAAAATCAATATTACATTGATTTAACACAGCAAGTAAACGTTTACAACAGATTGTGAGATTGTAATGATTTGAATAAATAGTTTATACAAACTACAAAGTTTATAATAAACGTCTTTACTAAATCTGTAAACGAGCAAAGTTTATCTCTCTTGCTCTAGAAATTGGGGACTCTATACTCGAAGACACAGTAGGATAGAATTGAACGGTAGTTCCAAGGTGTATAACTTAACTTTGTAAAATAGTGTGTCGTATTAGTAAACTTGCTGCGTCCCTTTTCATTTGTCGCTAAATACATCTAGCCTGGTTGGTGCTAGTACTGGTACTCCTGATACTGTTTATGTTACCCTACCGAGTACCGAGTACTGGAGTACTGCATTATTTCTGTTTGTCCTAGTTTCTTAGCCAAAGATACACATTTTAAAGCAAACTTTTCTACTTTGGATTTTGTATATCTTTATGTATATAAGTATATTTTCATATTTATCGTAGTAAGATCATTAAAAAGAATGATAAGGTAAAAAATACAAAAAATAAGATAAAGTTTATTTCTATGAAAGTTTTGGCTTTACGTCTTTCCGGGTATTCAGACGGATAAGAATATTTTTGACTTAGGACGACTTTCATCTGAGGGTCCAAAAAATAATAATTATAATAATAATATCAGTAAATTCACCTTATCAGATCTTAAATTAATTAATTAGTTCGCCTAACAGTTATTGTCATTGTGTTGATGAACAAATATTATATATAGTTTACTTACTACTGCTGACCTGATAATTAATTACTCGAGGAAAAATTTTAATAAAAATTCAAAAAGCATAACAATTTATGATATTTTAAATTAAGCGACAATTTAATTAATACTAGTATTTATGAAAAAAATTACACCTGTGTGCATTGCACTGGATGAGTTGTTTTGAATTCCGTTTATATTCGAAAAAGCACACTTTTTTGTGAGGGTAAAGGTCATTAAGCGAGCAAAGTAATTATTTTAATAATATTTTTATTCCAACAGCAATAAAACGACGGATTAAAAAAATCAACTTTGTGTACATGAAGGATTAAACTTTTTATCTTTTTTTAACACTGGACTTATTTAAAACAAAAAACAGTAATCTGGTAAAGTGAATTAAATTTTTCTCAAGCCCTGCGTTGTGCTTATAGGGTATTTGAGATAATAAAAAACATTAAACACGGTACGATGTGAAAATTTAGGAAAAATTTGTGGTATGGTTGCTAACTCTGTACCAAAAACGATAAAAATAATAATAATAATAATAATAATAATAAATAATAACAATGATGATGATGATTAAAAAGAAGATGTATAGACTTAACGATAAGAGAGAAATAGCCTAAGGTTGATCGGCATTTCCCTGGTGACCACTAGAGGCACGCGGTTTGAGACCACTATAACGCACCGTCCATGTGCCATCAAAACCACCAAAGAGACCATCTAATTTCATTAAAAAGCTTTGATGCCGTTTTACCTCGAGCTTACTTGCGGTTACTTGTACTTACAGTAAACTCATGCCAAACAAGTTTTTTTTATTTTCTTTTAATCCCCTTTTTTAAAAATCACTTTTATCCTTTTTTAGGAGTGGCTTTATAACAAACAGCTTTCATTTTTTAGCTGTATTACCTTTTCCGTTTACCGGATAAAGATAAAAAAAAAAAAAAAAAAAAAAAAAAGTTGCTTGAAAAATAATTAATTAATTTTTTTTTTTGGAAGCAAAGGAATCTTAAAATTATTATTATTGTTTGGAGTACATATCTATAACATACAACATTTTGTTGATATATATAGTTTGACGTAAGTTAGGAATCTAGTAAATTATATAGATATAATAGTGCAAAAAGAAATACTATTGAAAGATATGTCCTGCATGGAGTAAATAGTCTTGCTCTGTAAGCTATCGTTTTTGGATAAAAATTAAAAAATAATGTTATATAGATGATATATTGGAGGATATATATTCGTGCGGATAAACGGTATGGGGTAGAAGCTTAAAAATAGCGTGCAGAAAAGTAGCACGCAAACGAGACACTTACATGATATGATGTAAATGGCTATAGAGAAGTAGAGCCTTATATTTAATGAACAACAGACGTTAATTTTAGGGCTGTTGTAAGAAGAGTGTGTGTGTGTGTACTGAGATTAAAACTAATTCATTCACCCAGGGTGTGGTCTTGATGTTTTTATGCGAATTCGTCACGCTACAAACTCTCCTGGCTTAGCTGTGTTTTTACTATTTTAAATTCACCTTATAATATCCATTTACACCATCGCGATGCTCACCGTCGACTCTATTCATTTTATATATGGAAATTAATCTCACCAGTAAAAAAAAATAAATTAGATAGAAAAAACAAAATGAATGATGAATAACCATAGGACAAAAATTATTAAAAAAATTTTAATTTAAACCTACACCAAGAAATTAATCCCTAAAAATCGTTTTCATTATTTTTCATTATTTTTAGCGATATATTTATAAAGGTTACACATAGTGAACCAGAGCAAATAACTTTTTACACTCATAAAATCTCTATCCCGATGAGCAGCTTCGAAAGTTACCCCCAAATAATTGGTTATTTCGTAAATTATTGATACGGAAACCTTTATCGGCTTTTTTAATCTTTATTTTCAACATTTATTTATTGACTTTCCATCAGATATAAGTAAAACCTGTGATAAAATATTTACCGTTCGATGCGTTGTGAATTAACTAATTGCCAAAAAAAAATCCGGTGTAAACGATCTACCATCTATAATAATAATAATCATAATAATGTTATTTAATCTATATTATTTTCAAGTAGTAAGAGCACAACGAGTGCCAGATGCTCCACCAACATATCGGAATAATTTGAATCGTATATAGTAAATTGATTGCTTCCCCAAAGGGATTCCTCGATGCTAATATTTTAATATTTTTCATAGTTCATTTTCATTATAATATTTTTTTTTCTATTTTCGGTTGATTAATTTTTTCACCATATTTATCGGGTTTCTATTTAACAACAAACAATAACTCATGACTATGCATTATTATTACAATAATTATAATAGACCCCGGAGGCTTAATTAGAGTAGACGAGCTGAGAATAATACCCATTTTACTATAACTACCCACGCACATATGGTGACTCTCTTATTATTATTATTATTATTATTATTATTATTATTATTATTATTATTATTATTACAAGCTTATTTGCTAAAACCGCGCCCTGTGTACTTTTAGCTCTGCATTAATGCTTTTGGCACGCTCTCCCTATATTCATCTATTCATTTATTCATCTATTCATTTACTTTTTTTTTTTTCTTTCAACTAATATTTCATCTGTTTGAAATAAAACTTCATTTAGTCACGTATTGTCGATTCGTCCAGTTAATAGGTTGATTTATAGCTTTTATTTTGATTGGACACTCTTATGATGAGCAACATTAGATTATTTTAATATAGGTATACATATTTTTTTTTCTATTCTGTAACCTATATAATATATTACGCCAATCCAACAGTGTCCAATAATATTCACTCAACGCGCAAAGAATAAACTTTATACACATAACACGTATAACAGCAGTACAGGTACAGGTGACGATAGAAAATTGAACCCACAACTTATATTATGTCTGACACCGTTTCGGACCATATCTCCAGTTAAAATACTTCACTGAATGCCATATTAAATAAACTTTTTTATTATACTAGATATTTATTTTAACAAACAAAATAAATCATAAATGATTGTCAAGCTAAATATTATTAACGTACACGTCGTTGTAATGCTATTAATCTAAATTTAACCAGTATATTATAACTACAAGTTTAATAATCAGATAAGAGACTATTATTAAAAAAAAAAATTAATCTTAAGATTAAAAAAAACAATAGAATTTTTATTTGATGAAAAATCATTAGTGTGTTATGTGTTCATTTTTCTCCACTGGTGACACTCTTTGTGTGACATTAAAACGCGGCGTGGTGTGAATGGACACCAGTGTATATATTCAGACATGTTAGAGAATAGTTATTCATAAAATATTTCACGTTTACTCTCGCACACGTTTGATATGCAAATATATATATATATATATATATATATATGTACATGTTAGTTTATGAAAATAGCCGACAGTATATCATTACTCTAATTATTTTATGTCTTTTAGTTTTAACTTGGCTCGATATCAAATAGTATTATTAAGACTATCGGCTTTTTTTTTAAATTAAATTTATTTATTTATTTTTTAACAAGTAATAAAAACAAAGAGTTAAAAAGCCTAAAAAATCTGAAAAGCCAACTCAGGGGGCCTGATATACCAAGCCTGAAAGGCTGCACTGAGTAGCTCGATAGTTAGAGGTACTAGTCAGGGGTGGAAATCTCGTCACAGACCAGATACCAAACCAGAGAACGAGAAGACAAGAGTACACGACCAAGGCGGATCCAAAAGACCCTTATAGCATTCCCATAACTTAAAACCTTTCTCTATCATTTACCCTCTCATCTCAAACTCTCAAACTTTCAAACTCCGAAATCCTCTACATTATATTATGTCTATTATATATCTATTCTACGTACATTTATATTTATTTGTTTAAAATCTCTTTGATCCTCTGTAAATCTCATTTAATATTATTCGTCATCAATCATAACCACCACAACCACCCACTCATGCATACATTATTTATGAACCATTTTTAAATGATATAATAAACATAAAATAAATATTAATTCGTACTGTTTGTCCTTTATTTCTGTGCATCTCATAAAATGATCAACTATAATTAAATATTTAATTAATAAAATCTCTTTTACTGTTGCAAAAAATCATCACGTGTATGCTGGTCAAATAGTTTTGTAAATAAATTAAAATTATATATAGGAAATAAAAGAGAAAGAGAGAGAGAGAAAGAGAGAACTTTTGACCGACCACTATTTATTGGGTAGTTCGATTCACTGTAAAATAATTTATTGAATATTGGATTTAAAGTTAGTCATTATTCATTATTAATCGGGTGCGTGTCCATATGCCAATACTAAATACTGAAAATCATTATTAAAATTATATGCGTTTTATTAATAGGCTAAATTATAATATTACGAATTAATATGTAAGCTTGGTAATTACGAAATTAAATTATAAAATAAATAATTGAGTTGTTTTCAGAATTATATTCATCACAATCAATACCGATAAAGAGATAAAAAGATTGAGTAAAAAAAAAAAAAAAAAAAATAAAAATAAACTAGTCAGTGTCAAAGTCATGAATAATAATAAAAGTTTACTCAACCCCCCTTCCCCTTCACCGATAATCTTTAAACTCATTTCATTCATCTTATCACTCTATTTGCGTCAAACCAGACTACTCACTCGATAGCAATTTTATGCTTTTTATGCTATAAAAAACCATGAAATTTCCTGCACAATGTTATTTATGATCTCGCAATTGTTTATTTTTTTTCTTTCTCCTTACCCTTTGCCTTCCTGTTCTTTCAATTCTTTCAAACCATCTTATACTGTATATAGATAAATAAATATATGTTATTGATATAACTTATAACTTAAAAATAAAGGAAAATATTTTTATGTTTGTTTTCAGGAAATATACGAACGAAAGCTGTGTTGGATGTTGAATCAAAAGAAGGGTATTGGCTAACTGTGTACGCTCAGGATCATGGTGTCGTTCCATTAAGCTCACAATTGCAAATGTATGTCCAAATTTTGGATGAAAATGACAATACACCGCTAACAGAATTTCCCGTTTATTATCCGTCTATTCCTGAAAATTCTCCAGCTGGCGTTAGTGTACTTGAAATAAAAGCATTCGATGGAGATATTTCACCTCAAGATTTTACTTTTTCAATAACTAGTGGCAATCCTGAAGGCTATTTTCTTATTAACTCTACTACAGGTATTAAATAATATATATTAAATAACATCAAATTCTCCGAGTAAATATTTCAAAATTGCAATATAGCGTGTATTATTATACATGATGCTCATATTTACTTAAAAGTATTAGACAGTCAAAAAAAGTTGACAGAAAATCCATTTATTAATATAAATATAATTTATGTTGGTGTAAATCGCGTGTTTCAGGTCTGATTACAACCAGCAATAGAAAACTTGATCGTGAAAACCAAGTTGAGCATATTCTCGAGGTAAGTTTTAACTCTATTGATTAAAATACATACTACATACATTATTTACGTACATAATATTATCGTATGACGTTTATTCTATCGTAATTAATATTTAAATAAACTTACTCACCGTTAAAACTTTCTTCTACTGCTGTAGTATTAATAATAAAATTCTTAATTGAAATCATTGAGAAGATCTCATCAATATTATAGAACTTAAAATGAAAAAGAAAATCACATCACATCGTTTATATATCTAGATAAGGGCGCAGATTGAAAAGTATAATGACGATGAAATAGAAGTGAGTAGATGTTAATAAGAAAAAAAAAAAATCTTGAAAGAAAAAAAGTCTGGTCGGTTGCTCTCTGTGTTTGATAATGGCGAATAGAAAGGGAGAATACTCTGTAAATAGTGTGATGGAGAAAGAAGAAGATAGAAAGAAAAGAGGGAGCTAAGTCTTTTGGATGGAAAAGTGAAGAAAGAAAGAAATAAAGTAAAAAGAAAAATAAAAAAAATAATCATTTCAGAATCAAGATGGAATTCAAGCGAGACTTTAAAGATTTCCCACAAGTCGTTTTATTCGAAATTCAGCCGATTCAGCGATTTGCCATTCAAAGAATCATGTTTAACGTTAAGTTTAATTCACTTAGCGAATTAATTTGTTAAAAATATTAGATTTTTTAAATTTCAATCATTTTTTTTTCCATATGACCTTCCATTGTTTATTTATTAAACATAATACTTTATACTCTTATACTAAATAAATTTATGGATTATTAAAAAAAACTTAATGTATTTCAGTAAATATCATATTGAGAAATTTATTATCTGTGAGACAAGATTTTATCACAAAAACTTAATATATTTGATACAATACGATCGCACAGTAACTCACTATAAATCACTATCAATCATTATAAATTACTAGATAAATATGAAAAGGAAAAAAAGATAAATACAAGAGAAAAGGGGAAATGATATAAAATCGAGTAAAGTTTAGTTTTAAAGTGAATTTTGTATCAAAACGATTCTTTTTGAAACGATTCAGTTCAGTAGATGTTATACTGATGTAATATGCTCACACCTAGAATAGTGACTTTACTCGTATTGGCCATAAACAGGAAACGACGCGTCTCTATTACACGGTAGTTTCAGAAAAATGCCTCGCGCTTTAGTTTTTCCTGACACTATACTGTTTTATTAAACTTTTCTACTTTGCTAAAATAAATTTTATTTGTAAAATTTATGTGATCTTCCCCCAAACAAAATCCTTCAATAAGAAATTTAAAATTAGTTTTTCTTATTATAAACAAACAAAATAACTGAAAATTCAAATTTGATAATAATAATAACAAGTTTATCATGCAATGGAAAGTGAGTAGATAATTATGTTTTTTGTTGCCCCAGTAATGAGCATTAGATTCTTGTTTTTGTTCATAAGTACTACTGCTATACGTACAAACACAGACCACACACTGTGAACAATATTCCAATGATTTTAATTAAAAAAAAAAAAAAAAAAATATGTCTTTATAATAAACTAGACTATCTTTAAATTTTAAAAGTTATTAATATATATTTATCCAAAAATAAATCGACTTGAAGCTTTGGGATTTATATTATACCTTAATAACGGTATACCAACTATAAAAGTATTATTAATCGGAGCATTTTTCACATTTTTCACATTCTAAAGTGAAGGGATCCACTGCTGGGCGTTTCTCTTTGCATATTAATATTATTCCACGGTCTTACTTTTTCATATTTCGTTCTTTCTTATCATCAAATGAGAAAATTACCTTTCGAATATTTTCATAGAAATTTCCCTATCAAAGTAAAGATTCTGAATAAACCAAATGGAACAATTATTTTTTTTCTTATTAAATTCAACGCCGTACTTATATACATTAGCAATCGCGTGTTGTTGAATAAAACGCGAGCCCTCTGTATCTTCTAGAGATCGCGATCGCGTTACGCCTCTAATTTACAATGTTCTTTTTGTCTTTTTTTCCAAGTATTTTATTGTACCAAATGAGCGTCCGTATATAGAAAAAAAAAAGTACATAGACATGTACATACATACATACATATGTATATGTATATGTAAAGGGTTGAGTAGTCATCGATCGAAAGTAGTTCCTTCGTGCACGGATAACGTTTATCTGTAAGCTCTTAACTAACGTGCTTACTTCTCGTAAGCGTTTTCTGATCCATTTTTGGCTTTCTGGTATAATAAAAAATCTAAAATAAAAAATAATGAATGAACAATCAAAATAAAAGGAATAAAATAAATATTTATATAGCTTTAATTAAATATAATTTCAAGTATTCTTTAATTATACATGCGTATAAGTATATATGCTCTCGAGGTGAAACTCTTGAAAGTGCTGTACAGGGTGTAAGCCATAATGACAGCTATATCGCAAAGTAGTTATTCTCGTGGTTGGGATAGGTAAAACGGAGTTTGGTAGTCCTAATTTAGTGCAGATGTTACCGGTAGAATGTCACGTTAAAATCCGAGAAGAAGATTCAACTCCTGGGAGACATGGGATTTACGTCGCGGTCTTTACTCCTCGAGAGCCCATCAATTTATATAACACGGAAATTGCCTCTTCACCAACCAGATCGACTTTTATATTTATTGAGTTTTATTATTAAATCAATTACATCTCCCGATAGTTGATGATAATTGTATTGCAAAAGCCATAAATTCTGTTGTTTTTTTTTTTCATCATTTTATATAAATTTTAATTTCATAAAATTATTTAAATTTAAAGAGAAAACACGAGAATCTTTTTTTCTTTTTTTTTACAAGAATGACAGGAATGTAAAAGGATTAAATTTAATACTCTTAAATTGTAATTTATGTTATAATTTCATTCCTAAGGTAAAAAATGTTATTCTTTGCTATAAATTGCGTAATAAAAATTATACTATTTAATATATGTATTCATTAATACTTATGATTAATTTTTTTGTTCGATAATCTAAATTAAAAATGATTACCTTAGGGTTTTAACATTAGGGAGATTATTTATATCGAGGTTTTTTCCTGTCACGAAATGTTTAAATGTTATTGCTTTTCTAGGTCTCTGTTAGAGATAATGGTACGCCACCTTTGTCCTCAACAACTCGTGTAATCGTCCAAGTTGAGGATATCAACGATCATGGCCCCGAGTTTGAACAGAAATTTTACACTGTTCGCATTCCGGCTTCTCCAAACATCGACAAGCCACTTTTCCAGGTAAAATATTTATATAACTTTTAACTGTTTTGAGTTTTATTAACTGAAATTGTTTTTATTTTGTTTTGTTTATTTTTGTTGTGATTAGTTTTTTTATTTCCTCGTAGTTTTTATTCAAATACAATAGAAACAAACTTTATTCGGATAAAAACTATTTCACAATATATATATATATATATTCCTACTAATAATATATAATAATATACCCGTTAATTATATCAGTAGTTATTAAAAATGCTTTTCCTTATGTAAATTATCCTTCGGTAAATTTGAAAAATTAAACAAATTATTTTTATTTAAAAGTTTTGATCATTTAATTTTGTATAATAATCTGCTAGTAAGCATTTAATTACTACAAAAAGGGTTTAACGATAAAAGTAAACTTTGAAAAATTAAAAAAAAAAGGTTAAAAAGCCATGCTCCTTCTCGACAGAAATCGAGGAACCGCTCGCGGGTGTACGACCTTTCAAGTGATAGTGATTCACTACTTGAAAATGGAACTTGGGAGACATATACCCCCGAAAACATGTCAGGAGATGGTGTCTTCAGGGTAAGGACTTAATATTTCGGCACGTAATAAAATACAGTATATACTTGCCACGTCAATTAATAAACAAATTCATATTTAACAACATTGATAATAATAATAATAATAATAATAATAATGAAACAAAAAATATAAAATGATTAATCAAAATACTAATTTTTTTTTTTCTTTTATATTATGGATGGTACAGATTATTAGCACAATAACTTTTTTTAGTTAGATGATTTTTTTGAGACCTGTCTGTGGAATGAAAATGTGTAGTATATTATGATGATATTTATTATTTATAAATGATGATATATATGTATATTTGGAATGATGAGAATTGCTCGTGAGATGCATTAATCATGCCCACCTTACCGTACAATGTCTTATCGTCGTAAATCGAAGATCCAGTTGACGCGACAGGCAAGTTATCCCTCCATATCCACCCACTGCTTGAATATATGCATTATACATGCATTGTATTCAAACGTCATATATATATATATATATATATATATATATATATATATATATATATATATATGTTGTGTATATATATATGTTGATTCAGAATAATACCCTTGTTCAAAGTCTAATTGATAAGATCGGATATATGTCGCATGGCAAAATATTTAACTACATTATTTATTATATTTACCACAAAACTATACCCAATGCACCTTGACGTTGCACCACCATGTCAATACCACAGCCTGTGTACATTTTTTCAAGCATGATTTTTTAGAGCAAGCATTTTTATATATAACATAACAAGATTAATATATAAATGAATAAATGTAATCGCAAATATTTATTATACTAAGCACAATCAGAAAACTATTGAATTTATTTGTCACTATCATTCACTCATAACATCTTATAATATTTATTCGTTTTTTTTTTTTTTTTTTTTTATTTTATTTTTTTTTCTTTCTATGATATAGGTACTGGCTAATGACAAAGACGTGGGAGAAAATGGAAAAATAACGTACAGTATCAAAGGCGGCCGAGGTAAAGGAAAATTTCGAATTCATCCGACCACTGGGATGGTTTATTCACAAAAAAGCTTTGAAGTTGGACAAGAATATGAAATGATGGTGGGTTTATTAATTATAAATTATAAATTATACTTTATGTTCATTTTCGTTTCGTAAATTTTTGATAATTAATCATTACTCATAATCGCAAATGATAGGGAAAGCTGAAATAAGTACATATGTTTATTATTTTTAGATTCGCGCGGCGGATAACGGCGATCCGCAACGTAGTCATCAAACACGTGTATCCGTTCAGGTAATTGAATTACCAAAAGAATCAAAATATCCTCCAATATTCAAAAGTATTAATCAAATAGCAACAGTAACTGAAAGTGACCAAGTAGGTTTTCTTGTTGCTTTAGTACAGGCAACTGATCAAGACGGTGATACACTTTGGTATGACATTATTGATGGTGATGAACGCGATGAATTTTTTATTGGACGTGATAACGGAAATGTATTATTGGGAAAAAAACTTGATTGGGAAACAAAAAATAATTATAATATAACAATAAGCGCGACTGACGGTATATTTACAGCGACAACTCAATTAGTCATAAATGTAATAGACATAAATGATCACCGTCCAGAATTTTCTGAAGCTATTTACCGTGTTGACATATCTGAAAATGTTGATAAGGGAGAAAAAATTTTACAGCTTTACGCAACAGACAAAGATGAAGATAAAAAAGTTTTCTATAGTTTACATGCTGCACAAAATCAAAAATCACTTGAAATATTTCACGTTGATTCAATAACTGGAACTATTATTCTTAATGATTATTTGGATCGTGAAACTATTGAAGAGCATATTTTAACAGTTATGGTTCGTGATCAAGGTACTCCTGCTAAACGTAATTATGCTCGTGTTATTGTGACAGTTCATGATCACAATGATCATGTACCAGAATTTACAAATGAAATAATAAATGGTAAAATTTATGAAACTTCACCAATTGGAGCTAAAGTTGTACAAGTAAATGCAATAGATCGCGATCGTGGTGATAATGGGCGTATTGGTTATTCAATAACATCTGGTAATGTTGGAAATGTATTTACAATAGATCAAAATTTGGGAATAATAAATACCGCCCGTGAATTAGATATGAATGTTATATCTGAATACATTTTATTAGTCAAAGCGCAAGATTATGGTTCTCCATCATTAACAAATACTGTGCCAGTAGATGTTATTTTAACAATGGCTGATAATGCACCCCCAAGATTTTTAAATGGTGAATTAGCTGCTGAAATATATGAAAATCAACCAACTGGAAGTTATGTTAAACATGTTGAAGCAAGAAGTACATCATCATTACAATTTGAAATATTGCAGGGTAATAAAGGTGATATATTTTTCATAAATCCAAGTACTGGTGTTATAACAACTAAAAATCGTCTTGATTATGAAAAAATGAAATTTTACAATTTAACAATATCAGCAACAAATATGGCCAGTGCAACAGCATACTGCAATGTTATTGTTCACGTTTTAGATCGTAATGATAATCCACCTAAATTTTTACAAGCTATTTATAAAGGTAAAATCAGTGAAGGAGCTAGTATTGGATCACTTGTTTTAACAAATTCAAGTAAACCACTGGTTATTAAAGCTGAGGACCCTGATTCTGAATTAAATGCACTTTTAAGTTATGATATTGTGCAAGATTTACCTCGAAAATATTTCCACATTGACTCAAGTACCGGGGCTATTAGAACAGTTATGATTTTAGATCATGAAACAATTAATTATTTTGAATTTAACGTCAAAGTATCTGATTTGGGAAAACCAAAATTATCATCCGAAACAACTGCTAAAGTAATGATAACTGTTACCGATGTCAATGATTGTGAACCTAAATTTATAAATAATTATTACAATGCTACATTATTACTACCAACTTATAAAAATGTTGCTATTGTACGAGTTGAAGCAATAGATCCAGACAGCAAAATTATACCGCTTAGATATGATATTATTGATGGAAATAAAGATAATAAATTTGAAATAGATTCACAAACTGGAATAATAACTGTTAAAAATACAGAATTAATTAAAAAAGTTTATTTACTGCATGTACGTGTTTCTGATGGTAAATATTCAACAGTAACTCAAGTAAATATTAACGTTGAAGAATCTGAAAATTCAGGATTGGTATTTCAAAAGAGCATTTACGAAGGGACAATTGTCGAAAATTCAACTAAAATAATGACTGTTGCTGTAGTTAATGTATTGGGAACTGCATTAAATGAGTATATTATATTTAGTATACTAAATCCAACAGATATGTTTGAAATAGGACATACATCGGGAGCAATAAGAACAACGGGTAAACGTTTTGACCGAGAAACTATTGATCACTATGAGCTTATTGTTGAAGCTAAAAGCCATACAAGTGATCGAGAAAAACCAAGAGTCGCTCATGTTATTGTTAACGTAACTATTCTTGATATTAACGATAATTGTCCAATGTTTGTAAATTTACCGTATTATGCGGTTGTATCTGTTGACGCACAAAAATCCAGTATTATAACTAAGGTATTATTATTATTATTATTATAAAAAAAAGTTTTATAGTATTTATTTATGTCTAGATTGTTAAATTTGAAAACTTAACTAATAAAACTTTGTTGAGCCAGGTTCACGCAATCGATATGGATAGCGATGACAACGGAGAAGTGAGATATGAGTTAAAAAAAGGTCACGGAGAACTCTTTCGAGTTTCCCGAAAAACAGGAGAAATCTCGCTTAAACAAAACCTCGAGGGTCACAATCGAGAGTATCAACTGACGATAGCAGCTTATGACGGCGGTGAATATTATTTTCTATTGTATTATATATCTACAACAATGAAAGATTATTAATCAAATTATATAAAATGATTATTCAGGTCTTACTCCCTGCTCCATTGAAGTTCCAGTCCATGTTAAAGTTATCGACCGTTCTATGCCTACCTTTGATAAACAGTTTTACACTGTAGATGTCTTTGAAAATATTCAAATTGACTCACCGCTTTCACTTTCTATTCAAGCTAAATCAGATCTTGATCGAAAACTTATCTACAGCATCACCAAAGGCAATGACTTTGAAGAATTTACTCTCAACTTTAATACCGGTAAGATAAATTTTTATTAAAACCAAACAATTGTGATTTTTATATATTACCTTTCAAATAATATAATACAATTCTTTCTTTAAATATTTTTGTACTTGAGAACGATAAAAAAACATTTAATATATTTCAATTGCTACCTTAAAAATAAAATTTACTACTGCTTAAATTGGAAATTAGAAAATTAAAGTATTATTGTCTCTCCCTGTTTTTCACAGCCCCCGACAATAACAATGGCCCTTGTGAGTATTAAATACAGTTCTCGTTTTATCAAATCACTGTTAGTTTTAGCTGTAAAAATATTCTAGCTACCATTTTTAGCACTTGTAATAATAACAATCAACTTATCAACCAAATTGTGCACTTGCTTTAGTTTTTCTTTTCTGTTAATTCAGAGTAAATAAACTAATTTTTTTCCATAAAATTATTGACGAAAATTCATCAATTTTTTTTCTAATTAACAAACAATAAAATTATTTTCGTGTGTATTTGTCGCATGATTTTTATCTACATTTTTTCCATTATTAACAAAAAAGAAAGAAAACACACATCTGTGTATACACATAAAATTAATCTCATGCATACACAGAGCGCTAGGCTGTTTAATTTAGTGTGCCAAATTTATTTTTCATAAGACATTGCATTTACATTTTTGTTTTTATTTATTTTTTTTTTTTTTTTTTCCCCCATTTAAAGTTAAAAAAAAAAATAATGCTAATTTATTTGGGCTGACAATGAGCTTTTCTTTTTTTTTTTTTTTCTCCGTAAACTTAGGTACAATTTACGTAGTGGATGAGTTGGATTACGAACAGAAAAAACAATACGAGCTGACAGTAAGAGCAACTGACAGTGTATCAGGTGTATACGCTGAAGTATTAGTCAGTATTCTTGTTCTGGATGTAAATGATTGTCCTCCAGAATTTTCTCAAGACTCTTACAACATTTCAGTATCAGAGGCTGCACCATTCGGTACTTGGATATTAAAAGTCACCACTCGTGACAATGATACTGGTATGTAATTCTATTTTTAAAAATAATATTTTTTTTTTTTTTAACTTTTATAAATAGTAATAATATAATTGAAATGATATTATAGATATGAATCAACAAGTGGTGTATGCAATTGAAAACGATACAGAAAATAGCAACGACCTTTTTCATATTGATCCTGAAGAGGGTGTTATATTTTTAAAACGTTCATTAGATCATGAAAGTCATGATTCACATCACTTTACGGTAATCGCTACGGACAGAGGAAACCCACCACTGTCAAGTACTGCTCATGTGTGGGTAACCGTTATCGACATGAATGATAATCCACCAAAATTTGAACAGCCATCGTACACATGTTCACTCTCTGAGGATGCTGAACGTGGTCAATTTGTAACAGTTGTGACAGCAAGTGACCCCGACTACATAGACAATAATTTGACCTATACAATTGTCGGTGGTAATGATCAACAGACTTACTCTATTGATCAATTAACTGGTATTATAACATTGATAAATATGCAAAATTTTGGAGAACAAAAACTTACAATGTTAAATGTATCCGTAACAGATGGTGTTTATACTAGCTTTACTCGTGTTAAAATAGAAATATTACCGGGTAATAACAATGATCCTAAATTTATAAATCCCTTAATAGAAGTTAATGTTATGGAAAATCAATTACCCGGACGATTGGTAACAACTGTTTTAGCTAAAGATAAAGATTTTGGTGATTATGGTTCAATATATTATTCAATACCGTCAACAATGATGCGTGATGTATTTGATGTAAATCGTTTAACCGGTGAAATAACAACTAAGAAAAAATTAGACCGTGAAACAACTAAATTGTATGAATTATTGGTAATGGCAACAGATATGGGCGGTAGATCTGGTTTTGTAAATGTTAGAATTCGCGTTACCGATCAAAATGACAATTCACCAGTATTTTATTTAAATCAATACAAAGTATCTATACAGAGTAATATATCTATAAATGTACCTTTTATCAAAGTAAGAGCTTACGATATCGATGATGATGATGATGAAGCTGCTAAAATAGAGTATTCAATATTTGAGCCAGAAAAAAATTCTGAAATGAAAAATATATTTGGAATAAATCCAGATAATGGTGGTGTATTTTTAATAAAAAACCCTGTACCACTTGAAAATCAACTATTTGAATTTTTTATCCGTGCTACTGATAAAGGATCAACAATTCATCATACAGATGTACCTATAAGTATTTATATAATAAGCCCAAATGATATACCACCGATATTTGAAAGTAAAGAGGATAAATTTTTTATTTCGGAAAATTCACCTATTGGTACGCCTATAACAACATTAAAATTAACAACAAATACTACCGTTAAATATCGTATTGTATCTTTGTTATCTGATAATGAAAATGATCAATTATTTTCAATAAATCAACAGGGACAATTAAAATTGTCTAGAACATTGGATCGTGAATTAAAAGACAATCATATTATTGGTATTTTAGCAGAAACAGATTCAAGTCCTCCATTAACAGCTTTAGCTGAAATATCACTACAAGTACTTGATGAAAATGATAATCCTCCTAAATTTGAAAGTAATCGTTATTCAATAAATTTAAGTGAAAATATAGAAGAGGGTACGTCAATACTTAAAGTTATTGCTCATGATTTAGATTTGGGTAGTAATGGTGAAGTTCGTTATTCATTTGGTTCAGATATTGGAGAATTGGCAAATGTATTTACCGTTGACGCTTATACCGGATGGATATCAACATTAGTATCTCTTGATAAAGAAAAACAACCAGAGTTTAAGTTTCAAGTTATCGCAACAGACAATGGAAATCCGAAACATTTTGCACGTACTTCTGTTTATATTAAATTAAATGACTATAATGATAATCCACCGTCGTTTGTTAATGATCATTATGAAGCAACAGTTAAAGAAGATGCATTACCCGGTACTGTTGTTGTTAAATTAACAACTATTGATAAAGATATTGATTTAAATACACCTGTTGATTTTTATATTACTTCTGGTGATAAAAGATCACAATTTCAAATAAGATCTACTGGTGAAGTTTACGTTGCTAAAACATTAGATCGTGAATTAATTGAACGTTATGAATTAAATGTTATTGGTACCGATGGTAAATTTGTATTTAGTACCATTGTCATTGTACAAGTTATTGATGTTAATGATAATCCACCGTACTGCTTACGTTATAGATATCGTGAAGTAATATCAGAAGGTTCTCATCCTGGTAGTTATGTATTGACAGTATTAGCAACAGATTATGATGACAATATAAATGCTAAATTGAGATTTTATTTAACTGACGATATGAATGAAAATAATAATGATAAATTTTCATTAAATCAAGATACTGGTGTCGTTAAAACAATCGGACAATTAGATCGTGAAACCAAATCACGGTATTTATTAACTGCTCACGTACAAGATCGTGATAAATCATATTGGGAGTGTTCATCTCAATTAGAAATAATAATATCTGATTTAAATGATAATCCACCAAGATTTACAATGATGACATACAATACGGCTTTACCCGAAGATGTTAAAGTAGGTACACTTATTACTAAAGTACACGCTACGGATGAGGATATTGGTATTAATCGTAAAATAATATATGAATTTATTGATTCATCTAATGGACATTTTATAATAACAACTGATACTGGTATAGTAACATTAGCTAAGCCACTTGATCGTGAGACTAAAGAAATTTATAATTTAACTGTTAAAGCAATAGATCAAGGAACACCGCAATTATTTTCAACTGCTAATTTAATAGTTACTGTACAAGATATTAATGATAATCCACCAGAATTTACATCTAAATCATATTTTGCATCAGTACCAGAAATAGATCAAGTAAATACTGAAATAGTTAGAGTATTAGCTGAATCTAAAGACACTGGTATAAATGCTATTGTTTATTATTCAATAATTGGTGGCAATGAGCATAAAAAATTTAATATTAACAATAAAACAGGTGTTATAACAATTGCTGAACAGCTTGATTATGAACGAGCTCATGATTATTTTTTAACAATACAAGCAATTGATGCTGGAATACCACCATTAAGTAATTATGCTACTGTTAATATAACTATTACTGATTGCAATGACAATGCACCGATATTTAATCAACTGTCTTATCGTGGATCAATACGCGAAGATGCACCTTTAAATGAACAAATAACTCAGGTATTTGCCAGTGATTTGGATAACAATGAAAATGGACAAATTTTTTACTATATCGAACGTGGTGATAGATATAAACATTTTAATATTGATCACAATACTGGAATAGTAACTGTTAATGGAGGATTAGATCGTGAAACAATTTCACATTATGCATTAGAAATTCATGCACGCGATAACGGGAAACCAGTACTTGAAAGTTTTGTTATTTTAAATATTGAAGTAATTGATGCTAATGATAATCCACCATTATTTTCACAATCTAATTATTCAGCGGTAGTTCAAGAGGACAAAAAAATTGGACATGTAGTTATTAAATTTATCGTTACAGACGCTGATATTTCACCAAATGCTGACCCGTATACATTTGATTTTCGTTCTGGTAATGAGGGCGATGCTTTTCGCCTTGAACAAGATGGCTCATTACGTACTGCTATTAAATTTAACAGCAGAGTTAAGGATAACTATTTATTACATATCAGAGTATTTGATAATGGTTCTCAGCCTTTATACTCAGATGCTTGGATATCAATTAAAATAATAGAAGAATCACAATACCCACCAATAATAACGCCATTAGAAATAACAATTAATTCATACTTAGATGAATATCCGGGCGGTAAAATAGGTAAAGTTCATGCAAGTGATCGTGATCAATATGATACACTTAGTTACAGTATTGTTCCGTCATTATCATCATCATCATCATCATCTTCAATTATTGGTGATTTATTTAAAATTGATAAAAATCAAGGTACTTTAGAAGCTTTACCTCGATTAGATGTCGGTGAATATCGATTAAATATAAGTGTAAATGATGGAAAATATTATTCATATTCATTAATTAAAATAACTGTTGAATTAATAACTGAAAAAATGTTGGAAAATACTGTTATTGTAAGATTTCGTGAAGTAAGCCCGGAAGATTTTATATTGAGTCATCGCAAAGGATTTATGAGAACAATACGTAATGCTATGAATTGCCGATTAAAAGATATTGTAATAATAAGTATACAGCCGTCATTTGATGAAATAAATATCGTTAATAATAATAATAATAATAATAATAAATTATCACGAGTAAATCGGCAAGCTATTCACAATGATTTAGATTTACTATTTTCAGTACGTAAATCAAATCCTATTCTCGGCTTACCTGGTTTTTATTCATCTGAAAGCATTCGCGAAGCATTAAATCAGCATATTGAAGAATTAGAAGAATCAACAAAACTTGTTGTTGAAGAAATAGTAAGATTCAAATGTAATAAAGGTCATTGTATTTATGGCGACTGTATTGATAAAATAATTCTTGATCAAATAGATGTAATACCTATTGCTACAGATGTTATGTCATTTGTATCGCCAAAATATAAACATAAAATAGAATGCTCTTGTAAAGAGGGTTACGCCGGTAATAAATGTGAAATAGTTATCAATGAATGTGCAACAGATCCATGCCAATCATTTAAAATATGTATACCCGATTCATCAGTACAGGGTTACACTTGTCAGTGTCCAGAAGGGTTTGCTGGACCAACGTGTGATATTGATATATCTAAATGTCACGATGAATCTTGCTATTTACCACGCAATCCTATATCATTTACCGGTAAAAGTTATACCCATTATAAAATAAATTATGAGAAGAAAAGTCAAACTATTGAAAATCATTTTATATTATCATTACGTATTAGAACAGTACAACCAACTGGGAATCTTATTTATGCTGCTGGTAAAATAGATTACAATATATTGGAAATAGTTAATGGTGCAGCACAGTATAAATTTGATTTAGGAAGTGGTGAGGGTCTTGTACGTGTTAGCAGTGTATACGTAAGCGATGGACAGTGGCATGAAATTCATTTAGAACGTGAAAGGAATAGTGCACGTCTTACTGTTGATGGTAAACACATTGCTCATGGATCAGCACCTGGTATTAATGATATACTCAATTTACAATCAGATGATCTTTATTTTGGAGCTCAAGTAAGACAGCACCCATCAATACTAGGATTTGAAGATATCCAACGTGGGTTTATTGGTTGCATGGATGATATTAGAATATCAAAATTATCAGTACCATTACATATGACAGGAAGTACCAATAGCAACAACAACAACAACAACAACAACAACAACAATAACATTGTTATATTGAAACGATTTGCCAATGTTGAATTTAATTGTGATGCATCATCTATATTAATTCCACCGGGTATATGCGGATCTCAGCCTTGTCAAAACGGCGGTACATGCAGAGAAATAGACGGTGGTGATAGATATGAATGTCACTGTCATGATAGATTCAAAGGAATAGCTTGTGAAATAGATACTGATCCATGCGCATCATCACCCTGCCTCTACAACGGCAGATGTAAATTAATAGACGGTGGAGGTGATTATATTTGTGAGTGTACCGGACCAAATTTAACTGGTAAACGTTGTCAATTCGGTAAATACTGTAATCCAAATCCTTGCATCAATGGTGGGATTTGCGAAGAGGGTAATAATTCTCCTATATGTAAGTGTAATGGTTTTACCGGTGATCATTGTGATATAGATGTAAATGAATGTCACTCTAATCCTTGTATCAATGGAGGTACTTGTGTCAATGAAATAGGTACATATCGATGCATTTGTCCACCCAATATGACTGGTATCAATTGTGTTAATCCTATTTATTCACCGTCTATTATTTCTCAACATTTAAATATTACTTGGGAACAATTTATTTGGATTGGAATTTCTATTCTCGTTATCATATTCATTATTATTATTATTTTTCTGACGTACAAAAAAATTCGTAACAAACGAACGGACGCTTGTACAAATAATATAAATAATGAAACACGAAAAAAAATTGTATTAAATTCAGCAAGGCCTAATCATGATCATGAATTCAAACGCAGCTCTAAACTCAGTAATTTGGAAGTAATACAGGTAATTTTATTTATATATTTACTTTGTTTTTTTTTTTTTTTTTTTTCTTTTTTTTCTTTTTCTTTTGAGTTGGTGTGATTTTTTTTGTTTTTGTTTTTGCAGAGAGAACCTCCCCAATGTCCTCCTAGACCTGCATCCTATACCCCGAGTTCTAACAATGAACCGTCGTACGGTACGACAGCAGCTGTTGCACTAAACAATTTAGATACTCTGAGGAGTTACGGGAGCGCCGGTGATGAACTTGAAAACTTTCCTCCTGATTACTTGAGAAATTTAAATAGAAGCACCCCAGTACCTAATCCTACACTAGCTTTGGCGAATCCCGTTGGCGGAAACACTACTGGAAGTGATGCTGACAGCTTACATAAACCGACTTGGCAAGAGCAAATGTATCTCGCATCGTTCATCAGTGACACTGCCAAAATAAAGAACGGTGAGTAGTATATATATATATATAGATATAAATACACATCAACATTATATAGGCAACTTCTAAAAAATTTATTTATTTTTTTTGCTTAATGCATGCAGTGACTTTGACTTGTAGTATTCGTTTCTGTATTTGATATTAATAATCTTAAAGAAAATTTTACAATTGAATTAATACTTTTTCTTTAAAATAATAATAATAATAAATGCCTGGGTAAATAGCAAGTTATAATATTAACAATTGGTGTGTCGTATATGTACTAACAGACCTGAAACGAGCGAGTCCAGTGGTACCAGAGCTGACCACTGGAGGACTTCTTCTAAATTCAACACGAAGGACACCTCACAGAGGTGCAAGTTCAATCGCCTCTTTGTCATCTTGCGAAGATGATCCTCGAATAGTTGGTGGTAAGTCATAATTAGAAGCTATAAATCCCAATAAAAAAAATCTAGATGGCTGGGATTTCTTAATGCTTTTATTAAATTTATACTATATCAATCGCTTATCTATCATTTTGCTTTATATATTTATTAAAATATATATATTATTTATTTGAAATTATAAAAGTTGATTGAATTATCATTAATAAATGATTTATTGTGTATGCTTCAAGGATATCATTGGGACTGCTCGGATTGGGTCAGGCCAAGTCAAAATCCTTTACCTAATATCACCGAAGTACCTGGCAGTGAAGTACCAGACTCGTCGAGTTTCCACAGTAACGAGAGCAATGAATCAAATACACATCAATTACCATTAGGTATATTTATTTATACATTAAAAAAAAAATTGAATAAAATAATAATAAAAATGTTTTTTTTGCAGTTCACAGTTCAATAGACCCATCACGAGACATATCAACTCTAAATGAAGATCAAGAATCTGAATACATTGGAGACTCTGAGTGTGGTACAGAGTTTTCAGAACATTATAATTGTCCTGAGAGCCAACGACTTAATCCGTTGGATAGTGGAGGAGAAGGAGAATACAAATACAAAGATTCAGATAGTTATTTGAGGCATCCAAATTCATATTTGCCTCATTATAATATCCAAACAGACACTGAAAATGAAATGAATCCATTAAATGGTCGTCTGAGTACTTTGGAATCTGACGAGGAAGAAGACGATGATGTAGTGCCTTACGGATTTCCAAGTGTACGTCGTAACAGATGTAAAGGCGACGATAATGATGATATTGGTTCGGTTATTACAACTCTCGAAGAACGCAATTCATTGTTAGGTGGTGGAACGAGTAATAGCGATTTATCAACTAATTTATGCGAAATCGATGATTCAGAATGTGAAATAAATGATAAAAAAAATAATGCCCGAATGTGGTTATCCGGTAACGGTGTTACACAAACTTCTGTGTGACATTTATATAAAATTACTAAATATTTATTATTATTACTAATTAAGTAAATGATAATAAATGTAAGTGTGAATGATTTGAGTTTTTCAAACTGATGAAATTTTTTTTTTTTAATTCAAATTAATTATGCTTGATGAATTGTGAGTGAGTAATAATTAAATAAATAATACTTATTTTGTATATAAATAAAGAGAGATAGAAAAAAAAAAAAAAATATCTATAGAAATAAGCTGGGCAGCTATTTATAATACGAGACTGATGTCACTAATAAAATTACTACTTTTTTTTTTTTTTATAACGAATGATAATTTGTCAAGAAATCTCAGTAATAATTACTTTGCGTACTTAATTATTTTATTTATTATCATTTATCATTATTATTTTTATTTCATTGAATAAAATTGAAAATTTATTTGATTATAATGAAACACGCGGTTGTTAGAGATTTCTTGGAAAAATTTAATTATAATAGACCAATGATTTATTTATGAATTATATTTTGTATTATTTTTTATAATTTTTTTACATATTGATCGACTATTAATTTGAATATTTGAGTATTTAAATAAAAAATACAATCATAGAATTTATAAAATATCATTGAATAAAAAACCAGCAGTAATAATGAGCACAGTTTAAAAATATCTTTAAAAAAAAAAAAAAAAAAAAAAGTAATATATAAATACTAAAAGAGTGAAATTTTTCATTAAAATTAAACTCAAGTTAATAGTTGAGATATATAAAATATTTTTACTGTGATGATAATAATGTTTATACAATAATTGAAATAAAAATAAAATAAAATAATATACATATAATAAATTAGCAGTAATGAAATGTCGCAGGTGTTTGATAAGAGTAAAACTAATAGAAAAAAAAAGAAAGAAGTAACTCTTACTGTAAATAATCGAATTAATTTCTTCCAACTCTTTTGATTTTTCGAATTGTCGATAATAAGTATTGAGTATTAAATAATAAGTATTGTATTAAGTTATTTTATTTTAAACACATAATTATAAATATTTAATCGAAATTAAAATATTAACGACGTAATTTTTTATAAGACTGCTTTATAACGCGACTTTTAGATATGTAATAATAATATAATGCGTCGTTTTTTTTTTTTTTTTTTTTATCAATTAATCTCTTATTCCGATTTTATATTAATAGTTATCATTTTTTAGCTAATTACTGCCAATTTTAAAAGGCCATGACATAGGATGATGCTTTTATTTATTTTATAAATTATCATTGCTGATTCATTTTAATTAATATATACACAAATACAATAGAGACAGTCAATTATTATTGTTATTATGTCATTTTAAATTTAATTACTTGCAAGGAGTCTTATGGCAGCTTCAATTCCATTTTTTATATTCATCAGATTGACTTTAAAAGTATATAAGAACTAAATCAATAACTTTATTGAGTTATTGCGGCAATTTTTTATTAAACTTTTTATTATTATCCTTTGATATAAATATAAAAAATTACCAATAGAATCCTCATCAGTTAATTTATTCTACATTAGAATAAATATTTAATAAATAATATTTTATTTATTAATATGCGAAAAAAAAAAATAAAAATTTGTAATTATATTGCAATGTTAACTGCCAATTACTTTGAATATGTATTAGTTATAACATTTGTACTATTAATTTGCAATAATAATTATTATTATTATTATTATTATTATTAAAATATATTGTATATAAATGAAAAATTTTTTTAAGTCAAGTTACGTATTATAGAGTCATTAGATTGTAAAATAAAATGGCAAAAAATAAATGGGTACAATTACGATAATTTTCCACCTATTATTCCTGTTACTCCTGACAATAGGACACATATCGAGAATAAATCCAGGAAGAAAAAAATAATAATTTATAAGTATGTATAACTTGTCTAAAAACTCTGTACAAAATCAAATTATTATAATAAACAACTTAAATCTTGCCTAAAATTTATTTATTTTTATTATTTCCCGTATAAGTAATGATTATTCAATTTTTATGAACACATGCAATAAAATAATGCAAACTAATTAATGAGAGAATAAATATAAAAATATTTTAAAGTTAAAAATAATTTTTGATAATATTTTATTAAACATTTAGCATAATTTTATAAATAATTCATTAAGGAACTTTAGGTTGAACTATTCCATTATTTTGTGTGACATGTTGTTGAGTTTGTTCACTGGCAGTTTGCAGTAACCTTGTACGACGACGGGTATAATGTTGCCAGAGTAATATTTGCTGATCATCAATGAATTTCGTGCACTGTGAGTTAACTACTTCGCGTCTAAAATGTTCGTATTGGAGAAGGTCAAGAAAGTACAAGCACATGGGATACTTTAAGTATTTTGCGTACTCTGGTTCCTTCCAGTACAATAAATATTTCAGGTAGTTGACGAACGACGAGTCTTTGAAGTAACCACGTTGTGCTAAGACTATATAAAAAAAATTTAATATTTATTTATTTATAAGTAATAAAAAATGAAAATTAAGTTAGCCGACATTTAGAATTTTTTTTTTTTTATTGAAAAAATGGTTAAAAAAAAATTTTTACTTGTAAAAAAACTTTAAAAACTGTCAGTGCAATTTTAAAACAATATTTCTTTGTTCTAATTTAATTATTAAAAAAAAATTAAAATCGTCGGCTAACTTTATTATTTAAAAAAAAAAAAAAAAACAGGTGACTTACAGTTCAAGTAATTGGGGTTAGCCAAACATTGTACAAACTCTAATTCCACTTGGAAGCGTGCACGTTGCTGATCATCAGTTTCTGGTCCACCTGATGTTCAAATAAAAATTATCAATTATATAATAACAATAATAAACCAAATTAATTTGATGGATAAATAAAACTTACCGTTCATTCCAATAAAAGTTGGTTTGCGACCTTTTATGAAATTAGATGGATCATCCAAACGATTCATATTATTTAAAAACACTAAGAGCTAATAACTATTTTATACTTTTAAAATTTCTACTTATCCAGTTTTGTATAAATTACTTTAATCATTTGCTATTAAAAATTGCTCAATTAACCTCAAAATTAACTACTTTCTTTGTACTACTTTGTTGTTTTGCCTTAATTTCTTTATAAAACAAAAATTAAAATTAAAGAAAAAAAAACTACGATACGTATAATAATCCGGATATTAAATATATATTTTTACATTATATATTTTATTTTTATAAAGTCGTAAATAAATAAATCAATAACGAGTATGTTGATTGACACTTATATAGTTTCATGGGTTACAAAATAAATGTGTTACTGTTACTGTATTGTAGACTGCGTAGAAAAAAATATAAATGTGGCGTCACGGCAAAAATCATCAGCTGGTAAGTAGAATTAGAAATATAAAGATGGCGCTACTATTGGGCGGGTTTTTTACAAAATATTGCAAAGAGTATTTTAACGATGATACTTTTTATTAGTTTTCTTTTTCGAAATCAAATGAAATTAGTTATATATGTACATACATATTTATAAATTAACATGTTATTTATTAAAACAAAATTATTACAATCTACTTGCATGTAAATGAAATTCCATCAAGATACAGAAAGAATTATACATTTTTTTTTTAAAATTCTGTACTCAAGAGAATTTTATCTTAACTTAATGGTGAAATAGTTTAAAATTATAAAATAATAATCTCTGAAAATTATTTCAAGTATTTATATAAAATCAGATGTGTAGTCATCAAAACCCCCATAATCACCATAATCATCGGCACCAGGAGGAACGAAAATTCCACCAAAAACATCCTCGAGTCGGTCTTCGAGACCCATCGACGATGCCAGCCCGTAAATTAGTCTCATTACCACTAGTCTAATAAAATTAGGAGGATTAGTTTCTTTGGAGAGTGGAAATTGTTTGGTATTTCCTTTTTTGCACTCTACTAAACTTAACTGTAAAAAAAAAAAAAATATAAATTAATTATCACCATATAAATGACAATATTTAAAAAAAAAAATACTCACTGTTATTAGTACAATGAAGACAATTATTTTTCGAATCATCTTTACATAAAAAATTAAAGTTTTTATTAAAAATAATTTTAATAAATAAATAGAATTGAATTACAAAGGAGTAAAACGGATACCGATTATTTTAACAGAATAAGAATAAGAAGACGATTTAAAAAATCATAACAATATAAAAATCATGATAATGACGTTATTAAGTTTCCTGTTTATTAATTCCGGTCTTTAAAAGGCACTTCCCTGTACATAGTCTGAAAGAAACAATGGATTATTATCCAATGACCGAAGTTTTTTTTTTTTTTTTTTTAAATATATAAATATAAAATGACTCACATTATTTATATTAGTTTTTTAAAATAAAAATCTTCCTTGGTCACCGACTTGAGACTAACTGACTGTCTTAAGTTTATTGAGGTTCATTTTGCCTGACTTAACTACAACCCAATACCCAATATAACTGGTATTCTTTTTATTGGCCACAGTAAAATTAAACGTTATGTTATTTATCTAACACTCGAAGAATGCCAAGTACTGCGATCAAGATGGTGATAGACTGTTTGTCGGGCTTGGAAGTAAAAAAGAGATAGAGTTTTACGAAGCATAGCTCCATTGATGATCAAGAGGTGTATTAATGATACAAAACTTGTAACCGGTAACGGTACAACCGAATAAAAAAAAAAAAAAAAAAAAAAAAAAGCATTCAGGACAAGTTGTCAGTCGTGAGGCCTATTTCCCTCTCTTTTCTCTCATAATTGAGAATAATAAGACAGTTATGTTTAACTTTGTAAGTCATAATTGATTATTTCGATGTTTGTTTCAGAGTAATTACATTTTTTAATCGTTCAAAATTTATTGGATAATTCAAACGATACAGCTAGCATTTTGTCTTTTTTATGACAGATTAAAATAATAAAATTAATTATTATTATTATTATAAAGAAAAAGTATTATAACTGAAAATATATGCAAACGAGTGGACAAAAAGAATGCGTTAATGGTTAAATGTATGAGACACACTGAATATGATTATATATAGTAAGGTGTTTCAGACCGGACGTTACTCTTTAAGAATAATTAAACAGTTTGAAAAATTATTCAGGAAATGGATCCTTGTAAAAATACATTAAATTTTCATAGTACGCAATATATTTTTGTTTAATAATTAAATATTATTTATTTTTTCTTAAATAATTAATATTATAAATATAAAGGACATTAATTCAATATAAAATTTCAATGAATCAACATAGAAAACTTGGTAAATTATTAAATATAAAAAAGTATTTAATCAAAGAGTCTATCTTCATTTAATGATATTCTAAAATATAATATCTATCATAATTTTTTTAATAAAGTATCTAAAATTCTTATCGGGTAAATTTTCCCCAATATTGTAATAAAAGTTGAGAAATTTAAATTATTAAAATATTTAATGATTGAAATGTAGAAGGTATGGATTAATTAAAATAGGTAGATAAATTTTATTTATTGTCCTTGTTTGCGCGAGGGTTGTGTGTTTTTACACGACTGTGCGATTCTCGAAGAATAGGACGAATGCAGACTAGACGTAATATTCATTCAGTCGCTGTTCACTCCCGCCGCGTAACACTGGCGCTCAAAATAAGTTGTTAAATTGAATTTTTATAATTTTAAATATTTTAAATATTTTTTTTTAATTGTTTTAAATGTGACTTGAAAAAATGTCGATCGAGGATACAAAAGTAGGATATTTTCAATTTATTTTATTATTTTTACTCGGAATTAATTATATTATCGTGGCAATGAGTCATACTTTGACTATTTATCACAATTATACGCCAAAATTTTATTGTGAGGTAATGTAGTTTTCAATATTAAAACAAAACAAAACAAAACAATTAACAGTTAATTATACTTTTTAGGCATCAAATGGTTTAAATAAAACGTATGGATGCATTAATAATACTTACAATGGAACATTTCGAGTATGCGGAATAAACGATTACAATTTTGAAATGAATAATAGTGAGAAAAGTATAATTACTGATTGGGGATTAATTTGCGAGCGAAGTTACTTGAAGGAGTACAGTATTATTGCGTATTGTGTGGGTGTATCGATTGGTGCATGGATTACAGGTATTCTTGTTGATCGCATCGGCCGGCTTCCGGTTTTAGCTATTTGTTTGTACAGCCAGGGTACAATGACTGTTGCAACGTATATTGTCCAGGTGATTAAATTTATTGAATTTATTAATTGCAATAATAATAATAATAACAATAATTATTTAATGTCAGTAAAATTATTTAGAGTTATCCAGTATTTTTGATATTAAGAAGCCTTCAAGGAGTATTTGCTCAAGGACTACAAAATTCTACGTACATTTTAGCGCTAGAATTATTTCCGACAAAGTATAGAACTTTGGTATCCACGGTAATGAGTATTGCATGGGCATTTGGATTATTATTACTTACAGCGTTTGGTTACTTTATCCGAGACTGGAGAATTTTACAATTAGCTATTTCTGTGCCTACAGCAATTACCGTGCTTTACATTTGGTAATTTATTTTTTTCTATAAGATATTCATTTTTATTTCATATAAATTGTATTAAAAAAAATTATTTTTCGCTTATCAGGATGATACCAGAATCTCCAAGATGGTTATTGACTCGAAATAAAACAACAGAAGCCGATATAGCTTTGGAAAGAATAATAAAATATAATAAAAATTGTTGTTTTGGTATTAAATTCAAACAAAAAGTACATGATAGTAAAAATGCGCCTCCTGTAAAGTCATCAGAAAAACTAAAGTCTGAAATTTTAATTGAAAATAATGAAAAATGCAACAATGATCCTGATGAAGTGATTAAATTACTTAAGCCAACGACTTCAAAAAGTCAAAACTCTCGATGTAATTATTTAATAATTAATTAAAATTTTGACGTATTTATTATTTTTAAGCTGTGAATAATAATAAATTTAATGGTTTTAGCGAGTTTACGAGTCGCATCACAAAACTTGGAGGAAAGATTGTCGGATCCTTCGGAGACATTTGTTCAAATAACAGAAAATAATTCAAATAATAATGAAATTTTTGAGCCATCAGAAAAAAACACTCAAATTACTACAATTAGTCAAGATAAATTTAACTTAAAAAATGAAACTGCCGTAGTAAAAGACAATGAAAATATAGAACCCATTGGAGAAATAACTAAAAAAAAATATTGTTTATTTAAAAATAGTTATTTTATAAAATATCTCACCATAATAACTTGTCAATGGTAAGAATAAATTTTTTTATGATATAGGTATTTATATATGAAATAAAAAACTTAATTAATTAAAAATTTTTCAGGCTTTCGATCTCGACTATGAGATCGTTTGTGATAGATTTATTTCCGAATTTTACAAAAAATCGATATGTTGATTTAACAATAAATAATTTAGCTGAAATAATTATTTATATTGTAATGTATTTTATACTGTCAAGACATGGTAGACGTTTACCAATAATAATTTTTCAAGTATTTAATTTTATTTTTTGTATCTCAATTGCTGTACATGGATTTTTACCTTATTTAACAGTACTGGTTAATGGTTTGTAAACATTTTTTAAATTTTAATTGAAATTTTTTATTTTTTCTTAACAAATCGCTTTTGAAACTTTATTCAGATGTATTGAAAATAATATTATTATCATTGGGAAGAGTAAGTAGCATAAGTGCGCTAGCAATTATTTATTTATACACAAATGAATTATTTCCTACAACGATACGAGGTACTTGTTTTGGATTATTTATAATAATATCAACAGTTGGTAATACAAGTGGACCCTACATTTTATTACTGGTAAATATTTTATAATTATAATCAAAGTTTGAGGATGGTTTAAAGTTAAAGTTATATATTAATTAATTTTTTTTTTTTTGAAGATGAATAATATCAGCAGTCCATTGATATTTAATGGAATATTCAATCTGATATCAGCAATTCTGTGTTATTGGTTACCTGAAACAATAAATGATTGTTTACCAGATAATCTTTCGGATATGATAATGAAGAAGAGCATCAGCAACAAAAATTATCAAGAAAAAAAAACCAATGGAATAATTGAACAAGAAATATTAAGAAAAAAACTCTTTTCAGAAGACTGGGTTGACGCAGGCAATGGAATAATTGTTAATTTTACAGATAGTAATTAAAAAAAAAAAGAAAAAAATAATGTATTGATTCAGTAAGCTATTGTACCAAAGTATTTTATTATTTTTGTATCATATAAAAATATAAATAATAATAATAATAATAACGATGAAATTCCAAAATGATTATTATTTTTATTTATTATAAAGAAATATAAGAAATGCTATAGTATACATTGCCATACTTTTATATTTCATTTATATTATAAAAGTATAGAGTTAATTAATATTCGCTTTCGGTGAATTGCGCGATAAGAATTAAATATAAAAATATAAACTCTACTAGTTCGCGGTAAAAGACGACAACCCTGCCAAGTATTGGCGCTAGCGTCAATCATATGTTTATTACTGCGGACATAAATAATAAAAAAAAAAAACAACCAGGAGAAATACAGAGTGTGAAAACAAAAAAAATTAAAAACTAACCAAAAATCCTTGAGTTAACAAAATAAACAAAACAAAATGACAGCAACAAAACCACTTGAAATTCCTTTGCCTTTAAAAATAAAAAAAGAAAAAGAAGAATCAATATCATCTGAAGACTGTGATAATGATGATCTCGACACAGATAGTGATAGTACATCATCAATGTTATTGCAGCCTTCTATTTTCCAAAATGATTCTCTCAGCCGGATTGATCCAAACAATTTTCTCCGGCTTACATCAATGGTACATAATATATTTATTTTTATTACAAAATTTTTATGAGCATATAATTATATTATTAATTTACAGGTAAGACGGATTTATTTTTCTTATTTATACAAATCTATTGTCAAAAATTACAACACGTGCTGTCGTTCAATAAAAAGTGAAAAATTTTTGCGTTGTGATCTGAAGAAATTTTCTAGTCTTTTGGAGCTAGATGCAGTCAAAGCTTCCATTGAAACGTCTCTTTATCGACAAGCTGTCTTGAAAATAATATCAGACGTGAAAAAGGATACTGTAAACAATAAAATTCATAATAAACTAGCGGTTTATCTGGACACACCATCAAAAACAGTTGATGTTGCTGTACAGACTTGCTCTGAAGAGCTAGAAGATAATTATAGTGTGTTAAATTGTGGTGGTGATAATGTTATTATTAACAATACTCAGCAGGATATTAATTACCCGTATCTATTAAACAGTGTACCAGTGTTTGATGAAGTGAATTCTTTGTTAAGTGACAGACTTTATGAACAAAGTGGTGAAAGAGAAACTCTGGATGATGGTGAAGAGCTAAATAATACTAGTGTAATTACTAGTCAACAAGAAAATTCACAAGATAGAGTAAGTAAAAATATTGCTGATCTTTTTGGTAATAATTCTTCGAGCAATATTGATGATAATAATGATCAAGATAACTTCAATGATGTTGATAATATAGATGAAGACACTCACGATACTTTGGTACAAAATTTGGAGACTATGTTTGGTGAGAGTGACGACAGTAGTGATCTGATGGCATTAATAGAAAAACATTCAAGTATTAACAAGCCCAGTATCGATATGGAGCCTACTAATACTGCTAAAATAATTAATTATTCTAAAAATACTACCAGTAATTTTACTCTTCCCAGTGAAAATAATAGTAATAGTTGTGTTAGTTTTGATAAATTAGATGATAAAAAAACAAAAATTAAAGAGTTTAAGGTTAATTATGGCGGTAAGCGCAAAGTTTCATTTACTGATTATAAGAAATTAAAAAAAAGAGCTCTTGAAGATAATAAAACTGAAGATAAGCAGACTAAAAAGATGCGAAATGTTTGGCTCGTAGAGAGAATTCACCAGGAGTCAAAGCTCAGAACCAAAATGCTTGAATTGTCTTTGAATAATTACAGGAAATATGGGAAAGTTAAGGAGAAATTTAAAGAGCTATTTGGAGAAGAGAATGATGATGAGGAGATGATGCCTGCTGAGTCACCGATTCACATTGAGGAACATCTCAATGGTTGTAAGGAAAGAATCGCCCCCTGGGTTGTTAAGTACTTGATGCCCTACTACGAGGAAAAGATTAGCGGAAACAAGCTGCTGTTCAAAGCCGTTGCTAAACACGTTTCTGATAAGCTTATTCTAGAAAATACTTTTCCTGGTGAGTTTATTTATTTAATATTAAATAAATTTAGTAATTATTTTATTAATTTATATTTTATTTTTGTTTCAGAGGAAGCGTGTGTGAATAACTATATTAAAGATTACTTTAAAAATAAAACATGTATAAAAACAGAAGCAGATGTTTATATTTAAGTTATTTAAGCGACGATAGATAGCGACGATAATTCATTGAGATTATTTTATTTTATTTTATTTTCAGTATTAAAAGCAGCTTTATTTAATTAATTTTTTTTTTTTTATGAGCTATGAATCAAGAAAGTTAATTGTAAATTTATTTTATTTTTTAACTAAACAATTATTGCGTTGTTGAAATAAAAATTGCTATCAATAATTATAGGACAAAATTATAATTTAATTAATTTTTTTTTTTTTAAATAAAAAACTACTTTGTAAAAATTAGAGGAATAATAAATGAACAAAACGATAAATTAATTTATTTAATTTTTTTATTTAAATAAATTTTAATCTTAAATTATACAAACGAATATCAGTAATTCAATTTATATAATGATTGGACGTTATACGTTGGAATGCACGTATATATGCTTGGTCTAATAAGCAATCCGATAATTTGATAAACGCGCTACAGGATTTCCTATTAATTTTTAGTTCAATTTTCGTTGTAACATCTATTTTTATTGAAAAACAAAAAAAAAAAAATTTTCTTAATAATCAGACATAAGCCAATAAAATCTATCAAAGATTGTATTATCTATCTATTAAAATAGTTTGAGATTTAAATTGAAACTTTTCTAGTATTTTTGTCAAATAAAAAACAAATTAACAATTAATAATTAACAATATAAAACAATGATTAATTAAATTTATAGGCTTTAACAACGATATTTTACTTATAAATTCTTATAAACGACAAATATTTAATAATATTTTATTATTAACAAATATATTTTCATTCAGTGCTTACTATCGTTAGTATATAAACGATTCAAGTGTCTAAATATATATTTATATTTAAATATATCTGTATATTAAATAATTAAAACTGCAATAACCCATAATATAAAAACTAATCAATACATAATTACATAAGCATAAATTAATATTAATTGTATTATTCAGCAATTCCTGATTTTGATTGACAACTTAATTGTTAAATATATAATGAGATTTCTTTAAAATAAAATAAATCAAATAATATGTACAATTAAATTTTTATCTCAAAAAAATAAACAGTAAGAAATATATGATTGTAATAGTAAATATGTCGTGCGTAGGTTAAAAGACTGATTAGAGTGTGTACATTGTCATTTTAATTATAATTAAATAAACTATATCACGTTATTAATTATTTTAATATATATTTTAATCATTTTATTTTTATATAAGAAGCCCAAAATTTATTTATTAGCTTAAGAACCTTGAAGTTGATCTTGATTCATCGGGGATCTAAATAACATTAATAATAATAATAATAATTGATGAATTTAATTTAAAATTATTATCTTACCATGTATCTTTAGTATCACTAGTGTGGTTAAAAAATTTCATAATATACTGCACGAAATAGACGATAGCAATAACAACAATAGTGTCTACGCAACTTTTAATCATATTTGGATTGTAATTTTGTTCCCGTTGTGTTCGCTGTCGATAAGCTAATTGTTCTATTGAGCGTTGAATATGATTTAATTTTTCTCCGTGCTCAGCTATTTGACTCTCGACTTCTTTTAACGAATGCATCATCCTTTAAAGTATTTATTAATTAATTAAACAGTTTTTAATTAAAATAAATTGTTTTAAAAATAAAAATAATAACCTAGCTGCAGAACGTCGTCTTTTACCAACAGACTGACTCGAATCAGAGTGAATAGCTTCGGAGGAACTAGCAGAATCATGAGGATTTTCTGCCAAAGGTAAATTATTAGACAGCTGCCTCTTAGATGACTTGAGTACAGATAACGAGGAACGCGACTCCGCCTGTAATAACGGCATCTGAAATCATTATTGCCGTCTACTCGATAAATATAAACAAAATGTTTTGTTTAAACAAAATTCTCACGTGTTGAGCCCAAAATTCGTGATACTATTCCATTACAAATATTAATTTATACATATATATATATATATTTAATTTTTTTTTTTTTTTTTTTTTTTCATTATTATTATTATAATTTTTTATTTTATCCGCGCAGTCATAAACAATTATGAAACAAAATAAATTAATCATTGAATAAAACATCTAGACTGAAAATAATACAGTACAGAGATGACATGCGATTTTAATAAACAATATATTTATCTTTATTTGGTATTTGAGATACTACTCTCGTCAATTATTTAAACATTTATAATTTCTAAATATACCTGAGATTGTGGATCGGCTGAAACAATACTTCCGGTCCGCATTATCGGAGTCTTGTGGCGCGTTTTTGTGCGTACAATATAATCTTGTTCGTATTGAACTACATCATTTCGTGGATCCCATGGTCTAATGTCAGCATGTCGATAGATCCAATTACCTGTTATTATATCCTGTAAAATTTAATTCAAATAAAATAATCATTATGATAAATGATAAATGATAAATGATAAATTATAAATGATAAAACAAACCTGTACAAAATATTTGGGAATCCATTCGAGATTACTTAATTTACGTTCTTTGGCACGTTCACGCTGAGCTTCTTCCAAAGCCGTCTTAGCTTCGGTAGCTGCTATCTGGTCGTCATTATTGATGGCTTGTGTAACTGCGAGCCACAATTTTTGGCTTTCCCAGTCATTTTGGGATTCTATCGGCACTGTGTATTTCTTCAGACGTGATCTTCTTACTTCCGGAGTCGAAGTGAACAAAACACTTTCTTGCTACAATTTTCAACCAATTAATTACAATTAATTCATCAAAAAGTAAATAATTAAATGCTTACTCCAGTTCTCTTGTCGACGATATTAATTTGTCCGTCCCAGTAACCGGATATAGAGGCCAAAGTTTCTTTTCCGAGCTTTATTCGACCCACAACTTGGTTCATTTGTTCAGCACCACCCAAAAATGGCTAAAAAATTTTATTTATGATTATAAACAAATAAGTCATAAAAATTAATAATATAATATGTACCTTTAATTTAAATTCAAGCTCCGTATGGTAACCCGTTTTTTCGCAAATAATATTTATTTTGCCGCCGAGTTCCATGGACAAGGTACCCATAACTATTCCCTTGCAGTGAGCATAGGGAATAGTCATAGAGTAATCCTCGCCACGTGGAAGCATCGTAAGCACAGCTGCACCATCCAAAACAGCTGACGTAGAGTTACCATAAAATTTAGACTTTGCTATTATCGTTGAACTTATTGTAAAACCGTCTTGTCGGTTTGTTACATAAAATCCCGAAATTGGTGGATGGTGGGATATCTAATTGGTAAATAAATTTATTTTAAATTATTTGATTTGATTGATAATTCAATTTAATAAATAAACATACTTGTTCAGCGAGATAAAATGTTCTTGAGCCATTGGGATGTTGCCAATAACAACGAAATGTTTCACCAAGCAGTGGATTGTATGGTTTCTTAAGACCTTGGGGCTTCTTGTAAAATCCAGATAGATACCATTTAACTACCCCTTTCATACGAGTAAATGCATCATCTTCCAGAACAGCCCTTTAAAATATTATATTTTAAATTTTAAATTAAAAATATTAAATAAAAAATGACTTACTGCGAAAGTAAATCGGCATGATAATAAGAATCAGCAAGTTTTTCCAAAAAAGAACGTGGCTCGAGGATAAAGGTCGGTAATACTACTTTTGAAAGATCCATACCCGGTCTCACTTGCTTGAGAAGAAACCAGATAAGTGACTTTTGTTCATCCGGCAGCTCGGCAACAACTTCTCCAGCCTGTATAAAAAATAGACGTATATTATTAATCAATAATTTTATTTTTACTCAACGGCGCTGTTATAATAATAATAATAATTATTATTATTATTAATTGACCTAATAATTAAAATGATTAAAGTAAAAATAATTACCGATCCCAAAAATTCATTTTCATTAGCAAGATACGGAGTCTCGCAAATAGTGATTTCTTCCTCCTTGACAGATCCCTCGGAATCAGAATCGGTACCGCTGATCTCAGCATCAGCAACGACGCCGTTCTCCGGTTGACTGATATCGTCCAGGTCTGTGTGTAAGGTACGAACAGGATCTAGCGTTACTACTCGTCGGGCTTGACACTCTAGGACATGGATCGAGGGTATGGTCATGCGTCGGGTGGGTGAACAAGAGCCATAAAAATGGGGCGGCGAGGGTGACAAGTATCTACTGTACAAGCTACCGTTATCAGACAATAAACCCTCGCCGTCAGAGCTACCGGATAAATTTTTATTATCTATTGACGGCGGCGTTGACTTGCCGATCAAGTGCTTTTCCCAATAAGCCACTGCGTGACAAAGTTGCTGGAAGACCGGGGTCGGCGAAGGGCACAAGCTTTTGGATGCGGGGCTTTTGTTACCCGGGGAATAATGTGATGGCGGACATGACAACAACCGTCTCTGTGGTGTCGTTGGTGTCGGGGGGATGTAGCGGCTTAAATTTATCTGTAGAGACTCGTCCAGTTTGTAATCTGTCAGTCGGTCATACCAAGCGCCAGCAATTATTGAACATTATTAAAAACCGATTAACCATTAATTCTATTATATAAGCTACTAACTAATTTTTATTGTTAATTACTAAAAAGCCATTAATTTTATTAGTATAATTTTGCTAATACTGTACCAATTTATTGATTGTTTTTATTTAGATTTTTGTAAATAAATTCTGAGGTTAATTAATAATATATTATTTAACTTGACAGACTGAATTTCTATGACGCGTTAATATTTATTTTTAGATAGGCATTTTTTTTTTTTTTTTTTTTCCCCCTTTATTACAGTATCAATTATTTTATTTAACTTTTTTCGAATGTAAAAATAATCAATACTGCATGTATGTAATAAGTGCATAGAATTAAAAATAAAAAAAAAAAAATTACCGTGGTCATCAAAGTGTTTCTCATAATCAGCTTCACTCCACTGAGTCTCGTGTGTTGTAGTAGCATCGTGTTGCGGCGAACGCGGCAAAATACTAGTAGATCTGACGATAAGCGAAGAGCAACGTAGAGATAATTCTAAAGCGTCGAGCCAACATTTACCAGCGGCCTGCGATGGTGCGCGAAAAATTAAATGAGATGTTGGCAATGGTTGTACTACGGCTCCTGTAATAAAATAATAAAATAAATAAATTAACCATGAGTAAATAAATAAATAAAAAAAAAAAAAAAATGACTCACTCATAGCTTCTTTTTCAGGCCCCCGTGGTGCCCAAATAGATTGCTCAAGTGGATGAAATAACTTGAAACAAAATCCATCTTTTTTACTTGGTCGTTCAATAACTTGACACGTATTCAACAAGACCGTTCCGACCCAGTGACTGCTCTAAAAATAATAATTGTCGATATTTAATAATTTTATTGTTTAAATTTAAATAAATTAAAATAGTTTATTTAGTTTTTACCTTTATCTTTGGACTTTTATAAAGTAATAATAAACCTGGCTTGAGTATACACCAGAGTTTAGTCCAACTTTTTAGAGTACCGCGTACTTTGAGCCAGTCACTCATAACAATAACTGTCGGATCTTTTAATGAGCTCAATAATTCATTGGCAACACGTTTTTTTTCAATTCGGTAATTTTTACGCTGTGCTTTGTACGATTCTTTTCTCGTTAATTTTCCATCTCCCTGACAAATATATTATTTAACAAATCAATTAATCTTATATAATGATAAAAGGTTTCCAATTACGTAAATGACGTTAATTCATTAATTACCTTGTCGGTGGTGGTATCGATTTTGAGAGTACTCTCCCCCATCGCTGATAAACCTTAAATATATTTTTAGAACATTTGACATTTATCCAACATTTATTAAAACTCCAAATTACCATTAATATTCTTCTTATTATTTTTATTATAATTGTATAAAAAATTAATACATTACCAATGGCATCTTAAGCAAATAAATGGCCTCAAAAAAACTGCAAGGCATGTTAGGTATTTTTTTTTTGTTTGTAGTGTAAATAATATAAATATTTTATTTAAAGAGTGTAATGCGTTTAAATGCAAGTTTGTAAATGCCCCGAAGCATTAGTTTAAATAATCACACTAGAGTTTAATTTTGTTTTCAATAAAACTTTGGGGATTAAATTATTAACTCGCGTTAATACTTACTGAAGGTGAAATAATAAAAAAGTGTATATTTAACTTAAATAAAATTAACATTTTATAGAATTGTAAATATATACCGAGAGAACTCTAGAGTGATCGAATAAATGAATAAAAATAGAAGCCATACTTTAAATGCCAATGGATGAACATTTTAGTAGTAATAATTGTTAATTGAATTATTAAATAAGTATGATGTATGTGTGATAGTAGTGATGAGCTGATGATTATTGAGTAATAAATAAAGTTTAATTTGAAAAAGTATAAAATACCTGGTGAAAGCGGTGGACCAGGAATATTAACATTAGCTGTAAGTGATTCTGATGATGGTAGCTTTGACAACTGAGCTGACTGGGCATTTACGCTACCCTGCCGGGGTCTCCGCTCGTCTCCTGAAGCTACATTATTTGTTAAAGTCTCATAACTCCGATTTCTTCTACATATTATAGTCTAAAGTTTGTGCTACCGAGTATTTAATTTATTTTCCCCGAAATTTAAATTAATTTAATTTAATTGGCCGTTTAAAAAAATATAAATAAATTACAAAAGCTAAGTATATTATTCCGTCTTACCTTTTTTACGAAAAATTCCCCGACTACACATTAGTTAAAAAAAAAAGTTGTGCTTGTATTTAATTAAAAATGACTATGGAGTAACAATTAATTAATTAATTTAATAACAAATGTGCATTTAATTATAAAATATAAATAGTTTGACAGTAATGCGAATTGTATAAGCCGAGACAGTTAACTGAAAGCATGACAAACTTTAAAAGCCAGGCGACATAATAAAACAACAACAGTGACAATAATAAGGCCTTACCGACAAATGTAATATATAATAATAATAATAATAATAATGAAGAAAAAATGAGTTAACAACGATAACCACCTGTCCTAAGGTCTGTTGATGTATCGATTAATATCTTCCTTAATATATACGCAAAGTTGGTCAACTCAATTCATATTAATGAACTTACAGCTAAACTTTTTTACTTTAATATCATTTATTACTTGATTTAAACTTCTAGGTCAATAAAAAAATTCTTTACCAAGGACCAAATTATTTTAAAATTTAAATACCAATTAACAGTTTACGCTGTCATGTAATACTAAGAAAATGACTGGTTACTTGTTTATTAGATAGACGACTAGACTCTACCACCGATCCCATTAATTAGTCCCGTGACATGCGATGCAACCGTATTATTATTATTATTATTATTATTATTATTATCAATAAAAGATCAAAAGTCAACAGGAAAAAATAATACAAAAAAACAGCCTTAAGCAATAATATAAAAAGCGTTTGAAAAAAAAAAAAAAATTACTTATTTTATTTTAATTGTAATTTATTTAAATTTAAATTATTATCACCGTCTAGCAATTTAAATTTTAAATTAAGTATTGTATTAAACAAAAGATAAGCCGGATTAGATTGTTTCCTTATCAGTAAGGTAATTAAATTATTAAAACGTGAGTGAGTGAGTGAGTGATAACAAAAAAGTAACTTACGATTGTTAAAAGAACGGCTTGTTGGTGGTGTCATTGTTTTTAAATCATTAGAATGTCCAACTGATGATGATTGCGATTCATGATGATGACTTTTTTCCCCTCCGGGTACCATTATTGGTTGGGAGCTCATTTTTATAATCTATTTTCCCCAAAAATCATTTAAAATAAATACAGCAACAAAATAATAAAATAAAATAAAATGCAGGTCAACTGATCAATAAATATTAGGCCGCAATGCGGTTAGATCTATAAATTACTTACCAATTTATCTGAACTGAGTCACTTGTCAAAAATATTATTAAAAAGATTAACAAAAAATTTTAATTATTATTTATTTGATAGATTAAAGTTTAAAGATTAATAGACAAATTTTTTTGAGATGTTGGAGCCCATTATCACGTAGTTAGCTGCACAGATGTCCACTCTGCTGATGTCCAATAACTACTGATGACGAATCACTGTAAACTATTAAACAAATGTTGTACTACGTGTCCAAATCCCGGGAAAATAGTTAGATACTAACCGTAACTGAGAATCTACTATTGCAATAAACATATATGCCCAATTTCCTCAATTTCCCACTAGATTATTTTTTACACAGCACAGCTTTATAATATACGTACACAGCAAGTCTCACACTGGCTAATTGTCTACTGGTTTGAGTTAATTGTAAACAAATGTATGGCTTGCTGCTATTGTGTTGCTTGAATTGACACACTGATACTCTTTAATAATAATAATAATAATAATAATAATCATAATAATGTAGATAATTATGATGATGATGATGATGATGATAATAATAATAATAACAGTGATGAAGCAACGCGCTGATTCAGAGATAACTAACAATTTCTTTTTTTACAGCAGTCGGTATATAAAAATAAAAAAACTAAAACTCTCTAGAAGTAACTAAAAATTTCTAGTAATTTTAATATTTTAATATCGTGATTCATGATTGGTAAATGGCCCCGTGTGTAAAAAAATAAAAAAAAGGCCTATTACCAAAACCCGCTTTGAGTAGTTAAATTTTTTAACGCCAGATGGCAAGTACGTCACCGCCATAAGAATATACATACATCATGAAAACATGGCTTTGACTACGTTAAATACCGTAGCCTCGGAGGCTGCCTCTTCTGGTGGTTAAATAATTGTTGGAGTTATCGATTACGAGTTGGTGGTCGGTAATTCCGCAACAATTTTCAATTTAAAATTATTACAAACAAGTGTTGATGTCGAAAAATTGATAAATAAAATTTATTATCATCAAACAGAAGTTTTTTTAGCAAGGTAAATATTTAAATATACACTTTTTAAATTAAATTAATCAACAAGCTTATAATTATTAAATATGCACTTAAACACTTAAATACTCTTGTGCTGGGTTTAATTAAAAATGTGTATAAATTAGATTTATAACCTAAAAAAAATAGTTTGCTTACTTACGAATAATTATTAATAATGTTTTAGATAAAATATGGATGAAGTAATAGCCTGTCCTCCAACTTACAAATTAAATTTTGCTGAGCAAATTTACGCCGTTGAATTTTCACCTTTTGAATGGTCGCAAAATTTAGTTTGCATTGCTTTTGAAGAGGAAGTCTCGGTTGGAAGTATTAAATTTCCGGTAACTATTTATTTTATTGCTTAACATTTATCTATTAGCATTGTAATAATATTTTTAATATATTTTTCAAGGACAATGAAGACGTAGAAGAAATAATTTACACTCCACTAAGGACATTTCATCATGAAACACGCATCCATTCAGTAGCTTGGAGTCCAGAAACCTCTCTAAGCGTAGTTCCTAAAATAGTATCATTTGGAGTAGCTGGTTCTGATTTTAAAATCAGATTATTCACAAGTGACTTGAATGAGAAAGATGTTTTTGAGGTAATTATATATTTTATTTAACTTTTACTGTCAAATAAATAACTGATTAATTTTTCAATAGACTCTAGAAGGACACAAGGATTACATAAACGCGATAGCATTTGAGTCAGAGGGTGAATTACTAGCATCAGTCTCTGACGATCACACTTGTAAACTTTGGGCTGTAAAGGAAACTCCGAAGTTATTAGCGACTTTATACTTGAAATCTCCAGGCATGAGTGTCTGCTGGCACAACGAGGAGTCTGGCAAGCTGTTGGTCGCTGAAAAAAACGGACTGATACGTTTGTACAACGTCAGGAGCCAGAAAGCCATTATGTCAATGGATGCAAGTGTTGTTCCGCTGATGTCTGCTGACTGGAGTCTCAATTCTCTTAAAGTTGCTTGCGTTTCTGCTGGAGAATTAGTTTTATGGGATGTTTCACGTCCGAGGTAATTTTAATCAACCTTTTATTTATTTTATTAAATTAATTACTATTAATAAATCATCTACTTACTTACAGCCGACCAGTCATAAGCCGGACACTTCACACTGAAGGAAGCTTAATAATTAAATTTTCTCGCAATAATGAGAATTTAGTAGCAGGAATTGGCCGTCCAAACAATATTCTCAAAGTAATTAATTTAAAAACAAAGCAGGTTATTCTAAGTGGCAAATTAAAATTAATTGGTGGTCTGAGTTGGCACTACAAATTACCCTACGTTTGTGCTGGTAGTGATAGAGAATTATTACTCTGGCGTATTAGTATATAATTATTTTGTTATCATCATCATGGAATCAAGTTTTTTTTAATAAAGAAAATAAAATAAAAAAAAAAAAATAGTAAATTGTTTTTAAATATATCATTTTGGGTAATAAACACTTGTTCTTTTTTATTATTTTTTTAAGTTGAGAAATCACTATCAACGCTCTCTGTTGGATTGATTTTAATAAAAGCAGTGTATAGGAGGCGAAAATAGATATTAGAATAAATTACACGTAACCTAAATTGAGTATGAAATTAAACTAGAAAAAATTAATAACAATGGCAGAATTATTACTCGACCCAAATATTCGAGGATGGGTGTTTTTGCCAATAGTCGTGATAACATTTTTAGTAGGAATAGTTCGTCACTATGTGTCTATTTTACTTGCATCTCAGAAAAAAGTCGAAATTCACCAGGTTCAAGACAGGTACGTGTCATATTTTACTCCTTCATCGAGTCATGATCAATCAATAATATAAATATTATTTATTTAAATAGTCAGGTGATGATCAGATCAAGATTATTACGTGAAAACGGTCAGTACATTCCAAAGTCTGCATTTTTAGTACGAAGGCATTTTTTTAACAATGAAGAAACTGGGTATTTTAAAACCCAAAAGCGAGCCCCAGTGTCACAAAACCCAATGACTGATCCCAGTATGATGACTGATATGTTGAAGGGTAATGTAACTAATGTACTGCCCATGGTACTCATTGGTGGCTGGATTAACTGGATGTTTTCTGGATTTGTTACCAGTAAGTTAATGACAATTATTTTGTTTTTCATAAATTATTGGAGCAGATAAATAAATTATTGAATTATTATTACAGCAAAAGTTCCATTCCCACTGACGCTGAGATTCAAACCAATGCTCCAAAGAGGAATAGAATTATTGACCCTAGATGCTGCGTGGGTGTCATCGGCTTCTTGGTACTTTCTCAACGTCTTTGGACTCCGTTCGATCTACACTCTAGTGCTTGGAGAAAACAATGCAGCTGATACTTCTCGAGTCTTGCAAGATCAAGTGTCTGGAGCAGCTATGTCGATGCCTCCAGATCCAAAAGCAGCGTTTAAATCAGAATGGGAAGCGCTGGAGATTTGCGAACATAACTGGGCTCTGAGTGGAATTGACTTGGAGCTGACCGGTAGTCAAACAAAAGGAGACACTAGTGACAATATTTATCATCAAAGTAGAAATCATTGATAGTCCATTAATTTTATTTAATAATAATAATAATAATAATATAAATTTATTTGTGTGATTAATTAGTTAATGTTTATTGAAGGATACAAATCTGTTCGTCGATGTTTATTGCATGGCATATTGTCACGTATTTTATTAAGTAACTTTAAATCTATTTCACCTATTGCAATTCCTGTTTTTTCTGAACATTGTGCTATTATTGTTCCCCAAGGATCTAAAATCTGTTGATTAAATTTATTAATAAATATACAATTCATTTATACTGTCAAATATTTGTTGGATATTATTTAATTTAATTAAATTCATAAAAAATAATAAATAAGTTACCATAGCATGACCCCAACTGACGCGCTTTTTATTGTGAGCACCAGTTTGAGCAGCAGCAATAACGTAGCATTGATTTTCAATAGCCCTCGAGCGCAGCAAAACTTCCCAGTGTCCAGCACCGGTTTGATAAGTAAACGCTGATGGGTATGTCAATATTTCAGCTCCAGAATTACGTAACGCTAATGACAGCTCTGGAAACCGCATGTCGTAGCACTGGATACTCAAATTAAGGACAGTAATTAATTTATCTGTCAAAATTAAATTAAAATACAAAGGATACGATACTGAGTCCCAGTTTGCCAGCTGGACTGTCCACAGGATTTACGATTTTATCTCCAGCAACTACGTAATCAGACTCCATCAACCTGACACCAATTTCTTTATTCTCCATGTCAAATAAATGAATTTTCCTGTAAAAAGCGACAATTGCTCCTTTATTATTTATCACAACATGAGTGTTTGATATCTTATTCTCAGAACTGTCACTCCGTTTTTCATGCAATCCTCCGAGAGACAACCAGATGTCTTGCTGTTTAGCTAGTTGCATATATTTTGACATGATAGGACCGTCTTGGGACTCGCTCATTGCTACAATGTCTTTTCTATTGTCTGCTAAATAATCACAAGCTTCAGGAAAAAATGCCATCTGAAAAATATTTTTTTAAACTTGGTTCTATAAATAATTAATTAATTTATTTATTTATTTATTTATTTATTTATAAGAGTATAATTACACATGCTTGACGTTGCTTGGCTTGAATGACAAGGTCCTCAACGATTGAATAATTTTTTTCTTTATTTTCCGTGGATGTCATCTGACAGACAGCCACCAAAGGATTCATTGATGTTGACATTAGTCTATGTGTTCTAATTTTACTAGAATTTTTTATTATTTTTTTCAATTTTTAAATTAAGTAACAAATTATAATTTTATTTACTTACTTGAATAAATTATTTGACAATAATAAAGTTGATGAGACTCTGCTCATTTTTTGTAAGTATTATGAAATTAAGATAATAATTAAATTAATATAAATAGATAAGAATTTTTATAAAATTGTTTGTATATATGAAAAAATAAATATCAAACGACTTGAGCGCTCATGTGTTGAAACTTGAAATTATTATTTTAATTAAATAGTTAAATAGCTATTTGACCAATTTTTTAATTTTATTTAACAAAATTAAATTATTTTTAAAAATTTCTACATGTCAATTTTTTTTTTTTTTTTGCCGTTATTTATTTGTTAATAGTTCCAAAAAATTGTCAAATATCTGCTAAATTAATTTTCATTATTTTAAACAATATATATATGTATATAACTCTGAAAATAATAAAATTTTTAAATAAAAAAGCATAATTTAGATAAATGAAATTGGTTTATTTATTTTTGATTGGTTTATAATAAAAAATATCAGTACAAAATAATATTTCAGAAACTTAAATTTTATGTATTAACAATTATAACTTGGAGCATTTGTTTAAACTAATAATTATTTTTCTAAAAATAAAAAATGACATTTAATAAACATAAAAATTAAAATAAAATACTGTCACCATAATGTAAGTATTTAATAAACAATTATAAAATACATTATAATAATTAAAATGTACTCTACTACATATTTTAAATAAAATGACTTATTTACAAAGTTTAAAAAAGTTATTCACAATTTTACTTATGTGATTTTTTTCCATTAGGATTATTTAAAGTAGAAGTCCAAATTTGTCTTTGGGCGTCATAATTATAAGAGCCCTGGATGCCATAGCGCCTTGAAGGGCTTAAGCGAGAAGAATACTTAGGAGAAGACTTGGAATTGTACAGAGGCTTGATGTATCTGTTACCAAGATTGCAAGGACTGATGATTGAATGTTGAGGTCTGGGCAGCGGCTTCTTGGGCATCGGAATCCAGAAGACATCTACATCTTCATCTTCATCCTCGATGGGATGAGCGCCAGTGTTGGCCACCGTGCTCCAGTTCATGTCAGGCGAGGTCGAGGAAGCGTACACGTCACTGTCAGAATTTTTAAGTGAAATACTGGTTGAGTTTGTGTTGTAAATACTCTCGTGGTCGCTGAGGTCAATTTCATGTTCTTCCTCAACCGGATGAACGGAAGAAATAAAAGAAACGTCGCAGCTCTGGTCAACACTTCGCTCCAAAACGTCGACCAGCTTCCTGACAAAGTTGCTGGAGCCCGGAGTTGATTTTTGCTTACGGGAAACTCGACACTTTTTACGAAACTCCTCGATGATGTCCTGAAGAAGCCCAGAGTTGTTATTCTCGTCTTCATGATCTTCCTCCTCTTTTCTGAGAGGTTGACGTATAGGAGAGCTGGTATGTCTGATTCCTTTTTTAGCTTGGTAGCGTTTCAGAGCCTCAGTAGTTTCTCGGCAAGGAGTACGCTTGCTGTAAGATAAATTTGGATCATTAACCTCGCTGAGTTTAGCCTCAGTGACTTTTTGCTTTGGAGTTTGTTGATTGTTTTGTACAGATTTTCTGGTATTTTCACTGGAATTTTGAACCTTTTCTCCAGTAGGAATACCACGCATCTTCTTAAGTTTCTCCAAATAAGCCAATTTAGTATAATACTCCCGTTTCTTTTCTTCAATAATTTTTCTCCTCAAAATTTCAGCTTCAGTCGGCTCCGGATCAGCTTGGATACATTTAACAGGATAAGATTTCGTAGTTGGAACTTTTGATTTAGCAATATTGACAACAGTTTTTACCGGCTCAATCTTCTCCCGAGACTGGTCAGAATTATTTTCAGAGTCGCTTTTATTAAAAGTCCTCTTCTTCAAAGTCTCAATAATTTCCAGGACTAATTTGTTGGGCCGTCTGGGTCGCTCAGCTTTGACAATTTTCTCCAAAGTTGACGATTTTTTATTAGTTATCAAGAAAGTCTCGTTGAGCGTCGGCGAAGGTGTTGTTCGGCTGGAGCTCCCTTCGCTGGTTTCTTCAATAGGCATCAGAGAACTCCCGGATTTAGAGTCGACTGGACAGAGATGGAGGTACTCAGAAAATTTGTTTTTTAATTTTTTATTGAAAAAGTTTAACGACGGGTCACTCTCGTAGGGTGTAGTGCTCAATGTCACTTCGTCAATCATCGCGGTATTGTAAAGCTGAGGGGTTTTGATTTTCTCGTTGGTCACTTGTGTGTTCGAGTTGTTGAGCCCCTCAGAGGAAGTCTGAGACGATGCATCGGTTCCGCTTTTCTCCAAGTCTTTCTTCGGAGGGAAGACGATGTTGATGTTTTCTATCTTCCGAGATGGCGAGAGTTTTGGAAAAGTTTTACTGATGTTGGTTTTTATCTTACGAAGGGGTGGTTTTGGTGGTTGCGCTTTTATACGCTGGTCGAATGATGTTTCAAGCAAAACTCCTACGGTTTGGTTGGGGTTATTATTAACCACGTGCGCTGGTTTTGGAGTCGGGTATGACGTGTTCATACTAAATCGTCTGTCGTGAGAATCTGTAATTAAAATAATTTATGAAAATTTTATTCTTTTAATTAAATTAAATAATAAATTGATCAATTAAAACTTACCACTTAATTTATGGTACTGCATGGGTGATTTTCCGGATGAATTCCGCCAACTTGAACGTAAATCTGGAGAATTTCTCAGCAATATTTTCGGCGCCTTAGATGAATTATTCAAATACCAATCTGGTATTGATAATTTTTCCAATGATCTCTGGACTCTTACTTCGGCTTCAGTTAACATTCGCCGGTTTACTTTACTCTATAAAATAAATAAAAAAAAAACTATATTAATAAAATTGTTCACTCAAAATAAAAATTAACTATTAGCAAACTTTATCAATAAATTTACAATTTAAAAAAAATAAAATTTAATTGTTTATTAAAACTTTACCTTGACATCCGGAGAATCAAACATATTTCTTTTAATCCAACTTGTTGAATCAGCCATTATAATTATTTTAATAAATATTCAGCACTTGAATAAAAATTCACAATTTAGCTTAATAGGTATAACTTTAGAAATTTTTTTCCAATAGTTTAGTTACTGCAGAAACTTAATAATTCACTGAGAACTGGAGCTACGATCAATACTATTCGAAATCTTGGAAAAAACTGATCATTTTCTTGCGGAAGTGAAGCCTGCAAGCAATCTTAGACTGTACTTGACAAATAGTATAGTAGTATAAGTAGGTAGGGGTAGTATAAAGGTAAGCAAATTTTTCTGACCAATTACAAGCCAGCGCCTAATCCTGTACTCGAGACTCAGGTAATATTTCAAGTACGAGGGTCTGCAATGAGGCCTTGAAAAGTTTTCGGCTATTTTCGTTAGAAGTAATGAATTTCTTACTATACTTCTGTCCCTTACATACTTACACTTATACTTACTGGATTATAAATAGGAAGTATTTATGGTTTAAGTATAGGCGCAAATAAACTCAATGGTCTATGGAATTATCATAAATTATTTGTAGACCATGACGCTTCAGGTAATAAAATTTCAATTGTTATCCCTTGGATTTTAACTTTCTTCGTCGGGGAATTCTGTCGCTGGACTTTAACTCAAATGTATATTTATAATGAAAATATCCATTACAAATACAATGCTATTAAATTAAGTTGTATTGTAATTTGAGTGAGTATAAAATTAAATAAAATATTAAAAGTCCATTGGCAAGCTCATCAATATCTTCTTTAATAAAAATAAAAAATAATTCGCTGACGCTTAAATAAATTTGTAACATATGGAGGTGGAAGAGAATGTGAAAGGTGGGATCTCCTTAACAATTTTTTATACTTCAACTTGTATGTCTAGTAGATATCAAGAGCTCATATGAGTAGCAAACACTCGTATGGTTTTAAAAAAAAAAAAACTTTGTTATTAAATAATATGTCAATTTGTCTTCAATAGTGAGTTTTAATTTTATTTTTTTAATTTACTGATAAAAATAAATGAACAATGCGTTAAACCAAATATTTATTGCCTGAAAAAATTGTTTATGCAAATAATAACGGGGTTTTTTTATTTCAATTGACGACAATCGTAAAACAATACTTTAAAGTAACAGTTTTTGTTTTAAATATTTTCATTTTATTTAAAAATAACTCAGTATATTTTTTAAAAAAATATTTATAAGTGTGTTAACTCGAGTTAGAGAAAGACAGACAGGTGAAAGTCATATGAATAGATATACTTTTTAAAGACGGTCAAGAACGTGAGCGTTATTTCACGTACTCCATATGAAAAACTTAAATATTTTATATAACAAAATTATTTTTTTCAGGAAATGGCGTTAGTAAGATCATATTTAGCCAGAAAATTGGAAAAAATAAGATTTATAAGCAATCAACCATTGAATACATCTAAAGAATATTTGCAAGATGACGTACAGACAAATATAAAGCCTTATGAAGAAGTACCTGGTCCGAAACCATTACCAATTTTAGGGAATACATGGCGAATGTTTCCTATTATTGGTCAGTTTGAAATCGGAGATGTAGCGACTATTTCCCAGATTTTTTATGACCAGTACGGAGAAATTACCCGTTTAACCGGGCTGATAGGTAGGCCAGACCTGCTCTTTGTGTACGATGTCAACGAAATTGAGAGATTGTATCGTCAGGAAGGACCAACACCTTTCAGACCTTCAATGCCCTGTCTTGTTAAGTACAAAAGCGAGGTCCGCAAGGATTTTTTCGGAGATCTTGGTGGCGTCGTCGGAGTGTAAGCTTTTTTACTTTCACTTTTGTTATTATACAGTAGGAAGGTTTTAATTAACTGTTTTTGCAGACATGGGGAACCGTGGAAAAATTTTCGGACTAGAGTACAAAAGCCGATTTTGCAACCGCAGACTGTCAGAAAATATATTTCTCCCATTGAAGTTGTTACTAATGATTTTATTAATCGGTAAATTTGTTTTTTTTTATAAGTAATGTTTTTTTGTATACATTTAAATACTTGTTTTTAGAATTAATAAGATAAAAAATTCAGAAGATGAAGTTCCAGCTGACTTTGACAATGAAATTCATAAATGGGCGTTAGAATGTAAGTTTTAATTGTTTTTTAATCAATAATTTATTTATGAGACTTTATGAGAATTTTTTTAAAGGTATAGGAAGAGTTGCGCTCGATGTAAGACTCGGGTGCTTAGAAGACAATTTGACAGATAATTCAGAGCCACAAAAAATAATAAACGCCGCTAAATTTGCTTTGAGAAATGTTGCGGAGTTGGAATTAAAGGCACCGTACTGGAGATATATTCCTACGCGTCTCTGGTCGCGTTACGTCAAAAATATGGATTATTTTATCGAGTATGGCTTTATAATTTTTTTTTTAATTATTTTGTCTGTAGTAAGAATTAATTAAAAAATTTTAATCAGAGTGTGTATGAAATACATTGATGCAGCGGTCGAGAGACTGAAAAATAAAAAATCCGTCAGCGATTCCGAGTTGTCAGTCGTTGAAAGGATATTAGCCAATGAAAAAGATCCTAAAATAGCATACATACTGGCTCTTGATCTTATTTTAGTCGGAATCGATACTGTAAGTAAATAAAACAAATTTAATGAGATGGAATTAATGAATCAATTTTACGGGGACAGATTTCGATGGCAGTTTGCTCGATCCTTTACCAAATAGCGACGAGGCCAGAAGAGCAGGAAAAAATTTACAGAGAACTAAAGACGATCTTACCGGATCCGTCTGTTCCTTTGACGATGAAACATCTCGATAAAGCTGCTTATACTAAAGCTTTTATCCGAGAAGTATTTAGGTAATATTAATTGTTTTAATTCATTAGAAAAATATTTATTATTGATTAATTTCCAGAGTTTATTCAACTGTAATTGGAAACGGACGTACTTTACAGAATGACACAGTTATTTGTGGATACCACATACCTAAAGGGGTGAGATATAATTAATAAAATTATATGCTGGAGGGCTTATAAAAGTATTTAAATAAATTTTTATCAGGTCCAGGTTGTTTTTCCGACAATAGTTACAGGAAAAATGGAAAAATGGGTGGAAAATGCCCATGAATTCAAACCCGAGAGGTGGTTAAAAGAAAATGAACATAAAAAACTTCATCCGTTTGCTTCTTTGCCGTACGGACACGGCGCGAGAATGTGTTTAGGACGTCGATTCGCTGATCTAGAGATCCAAGTACTTCTTGCAAAGGTAATTAACTCTCTAAGTTGATAAATTGCTTAATTAAATTTTTAATTATTTTTTCAGCTTATAAGCAATTACAAACTGGAGTATCATTACGAACCACTTAACTACAAAGTGACATTTATGTACGCTCCTCATGGAGATTTAAAGTTTAAAATAAGTAAAAGATAATATAATACTTATTTGGCTTATTTTTTAATATTTTATTTTTTAATCATCGTTTTATAAATTTTAGTCTTAAGGGTCCTTTTGGGGTGTACAGTGGGTTTATGTGGTAGTCCATTTTTTCATAATTGTATTCCAGACGATATTTTTGAATAATCTGAAAAATAATTGTATATTATTATAAGGTCTGCTTCACACTTTCTATTTAAATAAAAATTAGTAGGCCGGAAATTGCGTGGATAGTAAAATCATAGAGCAGAACTGATAAAATAATTTTTACAATTATTGTTAAATAAACTCTGAGTTTAAAATAAAAATAGTAGCTGTTGAATTTAAAGAGTTAATAATTAAATACAAAAGTCGAGGCTTTTATTTTGATTGGAAAATTTCATGGTAATATGTTTAAATAAGTGTCTAGATTATTTTTTTGGTTTAAAACTATTGTCCAAGAGTTGTTGCCATTCATGTTATATGTTTTGTCGCCAGTCTAGTCAAATATACCTAATTTTTAAGCCTCAACTCTTGTCACCTACATGAAAAATGTACATTATTGCTTATCGGATAAGTATTTAAAATATTTATCTTGCATCAAAAGATAGTAGTAAAAAATAAAATTTACTTAATTTTTTTATAATACTTTGGTTTTTTGAAAACTAAAAGTGAGTCAATGTCAAATCCTAATTACAGACCTTTCTAATTACATACCTTACTAATTACAACAATTATCTCGAGATCTGCGAAGCGTCGTCCAAGACACATCCGTCGTCCGAAACCGAATGGTAATGATGCAAAGGAATGATGACATTGCCGTGAATCATTAATGTCGTAATTCATCCATCTTTCTGGAATGAACTTGTTACTTTGTTTAAAGTATCTTTCTTCATTACTAATTACATAGTGTTGAAATATCACTTGAACCTAAAAGTCAAAGGATAGATGCTTTAAATCCAAATTAATTTGGATTTTTAAAGTGACTTACGCCTTTGGGAATGTGATAACCCTTTATCACGGTATCTTTGGTCATACATCGTCCGTTTCCAATTACTACCGGGTACATTCTAAAAACAATAACAAATTAAAGATAATATTTATATCGCATTAACTTAAATGACTACCTTAAAGTTTCTTTGACGCATGCTTTCAAGTACTTTAAGTTATCAAGATGTTTTCGTTTAATTTCCATATCTTTATCAGGAAGCTCTCGTTTTATTTCCTCAAACAATAGCGCCTGTTTATCTGGATTCAAGGCCAGTTGATACAAAATCGAGCCTACTGCAGTTGCTGTCTATTGATTGCAATTAACAATAATAATAACAACAATTATATTTATACATACGGGTGTATCCTAATTAAATGACCTATTAAAAACACTTACAGTGTCAATTCCTACGAGGAATAAATCAAGCGCGAGAACTGATGCCAAATTACCATCTCTACTGTCATCGATCTCGAGTACACGCTCCAGTAACGAGAGCTCACGACTTATTTTGTCTTTGTATTTTGATTTCTCCATCGCTATTTTTGTGTATTTCATTGTAAAGCTAAAATTAGATAATAGATAAGAGCTTTTAATTTATTTTTATCACATTTATGTGTTTTACAAAGCATTAACACTTATTATTTTTATTAATTAAATTACAACTAAAAAAGTATTTCTAAAAAATTACACTTATAGTTTTTCAAGTTTTTTTTATATGTGAAATTGTTTTTTTTTTTAATTGTTTAATTGAAATTTTTTCACTAACTTCATTTTCATATATTATAAATATTTGTAAAGCTAAATAAATTATTAAAAAATTGATTAAATAAGAAGAAAATAATTTACTTGAAGAGTTTATCCAATGCGCAAACATATTCATGATACTTGGGGGTGTAAAATAATTTCCAAAAAGGTATTTTCAACTCGAGTATTCCAACATTTGTGAAAAAAGTATGTACGGCGTCTATTAATTGCTGTGTTTCCAAATTAGCGTCTTCATCCATGCAACCAAGACGTAAATCGAGTGCTACTTTTGCTATAGCTGATAAAAAAAAAAATTAATTAATAAAGATCATAATTAATAAATTAATAAAAATATATTACATTCAAGCGACCACTTGTTTATTTCATTTAAAAAATCATCCGGAACTTGATTTTCTTTATTTTTAATCCTTTCAATTCTGTAAATAAATTTTATTTATATTGTAGAAAACTTTTCTATTAATCTATTAATTTATTGATATAAGTAATAGTTATTGCAACCTTTTAATAAAATCAAGGCTCGATTCTTCAATTGCACTGACATATAAACCGACAATTCGTAGTTGAAGCATTATTTGTTGCACTTTGCTGCGAAATTGATACCAACTTTCACCGTGGCTAAAAAAATCATCTTAAATTACCTTCAATTTTCTTATTATATCATTTTATAAAGTAAATTAAGGTAAATAAAAAGCGGACTTACGAAGCAATGACACCAGCATTCCTTTTAAAAAAGTCTTTGCGCAACACATGCTTGTAGTAATTGAGAGAAGGCATAGAGGGACGATGAGGCATTATTTCTTCTTGACGGAATATTTTCTGTATTTCATCTGCATCGTAGAGAAAAACCATGTCTGGTCTTCCCATAAGACCTTCTATTTTTACAATATCACCATATTGTTTGAACAATCGCTTGGATACTTTGTCGATCTCTTGGATTTTAAAGTCACCTTTTACAAATAAAATTTCAAAGTGTCATAAATATGTCTCTTAAATTTATACTTTTAAGTAAATAAGTACTTAACACATTGAATGAATAAATATATTGTTATTAGTTATTACCTATGTAAGGAATGAACCGCCATGTGTTTCCCAGAAAGGGAATTGGTTTAGGACCAGGAATTTCCCTGTATGACCGTACTAAATTATATTCTTCTGCTGGTGTTGTCAAGTTATCTATTGTGGTACTTGAATAATTAACTTTTTTCACAAATAAATAGTTTTTAAAGTACTGGGATTTATTTAAAAAATTAATTTTTAACATTTCTTCACTTTACTTAATATATACTTAAGAACATTACAACTCACAGTTTGATTGCTGGGAAATGAATCTATTGTTACAGTGAGCTGTTATATGTTATTGTTAAAAAACCCATTGAGTACTGAGTTTCTTTTTAGGTCTTAGCGAGAATACTCCGGAGAAAAGTGGGAGGGAAGCTATTGTATTGCTGGGAAGGAGAAATATTAAATCTCCTTCCGAGTTGACGAGCTCGAGAAAAAGTGATTGTATTTTTAATTTAAATGTATATCAATGATTTCAAGCTGGGAATTAATTTAATAATTAAGACATAAATTTTAATCAAGTTTTTTTAAACTTTATTTTGTTTATTTATAATGTACTATTAACTAAGCCATTAGTTTGCAGATAAAATTCTCGTTGATTTTACATTAAAGACAAAAATACGATCTAATATTTACAAATCAAGTGTGTACAACATAAGCTTCTTTTTAATAATATTATCATTGTTATTTATTATTATATTAATTATTAGTTATTAGTTATCATCATCATCATCATTATTATTATTACTACTATCATTATTATCCTTTTAAAAATAAAACCTGACATTCGTCGCAATAGGACACAACTTTGTAAATAATATCAGTCCGATATTTCTATTAAAAAACACTGAATAAATATGACAAATGTGTCCGCAAAAAATAATGTTTACTCCTTATTATTTGTTTCACATTGTGCCCAGATACAACGAACGGTACTAATAATAGCAATAATAATATTAATATTAATAATGATAATACAAATAATTATTCCCCGTGAAAATAATAACAAACATATACGATATATAATAATATCTTCATTTATTTAATAATAATTTTAATAATAATAATAATTATATTTATGGAAAGAATCTAGAACACTTATGATATATATTAATCAGTATATACCATCAGTTTGAAATATTAGTACATAGTTTATCTATTTACAGATGAATATTGCCTACAAGCTAAATTTAGCGATGTAACGCAATATTGTAATTATTAATAATAATATATATATATATATTTATATTTATATTTTTTATTGTTATTCTTTAACATATTAATGATTTAATGAAATGTGTGTATGATGTATCCTATTTAAGATCGCGATTTACGTCTAATCAAATAATTATTATTTGTTGTAAATAATTAATCTAAAAATTATTAATTATAATTACGTGTTAAAACAAAACTCAATTGTTTAACGGGATTACTTTTTAAATTTAATGGATATATTTTGTAATAATAATAATAACCACTGCACTCTCGATAATAATGCTCATCATGGACAATTTTATCTTTCTTCTTGTTATTATTTTACTTTTTAATATATATATATATTTATTGTATTATTATTATCATTATTTAAAATTTATTTTACCATGCCTCGAATAGTTATAACTTCTCATAATACATTTTTATTTTTTAATATTTTTCTACACATATTCATTATTTTTTTCATCGATAACTAGATTACGACCAACTTAGTAGATTTTAAGGAAATTTCTTCCCAGTTCCCTCCACTTTTTAACATCAAAACATCCTTAATGCTTTACAATATCAAAACAAATCAATTAAAGGGTTGATATTTTATAAAAAAAATTATTTTGGAAATTTTTTTTCGTTAGAAGTAGAGGGGGCCTGAAAATCTCCTCAAGCGAAGGTCTTACTACGTTACTTATCGTTAAATAATATTAGATCGTTTAAATTTTTATTAATTTATTAATTTTTGTTATATGCAACGATTACTGTTGATTTAAAAAATTCAAAATAGTCTTGGTTTTATTATAAAAAGCATTGCGTATTAATTTACGTATTTCAAACTGATAAATATATATATATATATATATATATATATATATATTCATTTAACTGTCCATGTGAATAAATGTGTCTATTAATTCATTAAAAATAATAATTATTTTTATTTCAAAATTGTGGTAATGGAAAATACTCAAAATTCTTATAAAAATTAAACTGAACATCTTTTAGTATATTTTCAAAAAAAATTTATTTTTTTCATAATTTTTTGTAAATTCCATTACCATTCACATTGGAAAAATTAATACATGCGGTACAATAAAATTGCAAAAGTTATACTTATAATTTTTTTATTTAAAAAAAAAAAGAAATAGAGTAAGAGTGAAATAGAACCTTTGTTTATTTATATTCTATAGGACGGTCAGAACTTTTTGCAATCATTCACTCTGCACCATTTGTTATTATAAATGAAAGATCAGCAAAAAGATTTTAGTTAACTTAAATAAATAATATTCATATTTATATAATTTTAAATCAAAAATATTTGCTCAGCTACATATCATTGTCTTCTTATTCATCTTTTTTTAAAATTGTTTATAGCTTTATGTAGATGTGATATATTATTTAATTTTAATTACATTAAATTAAACTACATAATTTTTTTAATTAAAAATAGTCATCCGACTTTTTAATAATTAATTGAAGATTTATTTTTTCTTTCTATTCATAAATTGTGATGGTAATTTTTATTAATTTATTATTTTCAATTCTAATGACATTTTTATTTTAATCTAAAATAATAGATTGAATTAATTAATTAACCAATAGTGATGTGAGTTAAGTTTTTCATTAGTAATTATTTATTACAGGATCTAAAAATTATAATTACAAATTTTTTTTTTAAAGTTTAAAACTTTAATTTTTAATACAATTTAAAATTGCAATTGGATTATTATTACTATTATTATTATCATAATCACCATCACTTAAATAAATAATAAAATGATTACATCAAATAAATGTTCGGCCTTCAATAGTATAATTATCGTAGCATGATGATTAACAAATATATTTATTATGTATGATATGTTTTAAAGACCACAAAGAGATTCAATTTCATAAAACTAATAATAATAAAATTAAATTGATAAAAATACAAAAAAATATTTTTATTAAAAAAAAGCAGACACCTGAAAATTTTAAATATTTTTTAATTCATTAAAAAAAATGTCAGATGTCTGCTAATTGTAGTACCATTAATCAATAAGATAATATTCTGTGCTGAGCAGTGATAGTAAAAATTAAAAATAACAGTTAGATATATTTATAAACATAAATTTAACTAAAAAAAATTAAAGAAATAAATAACTTGGATGATTTAATTTTTGAGTAGTTTCCAATAAAATTGACTACTACATACGAGGACAGTATATATACACACGTTATGCACTGGTAAAAGATATAGTACAGATTACATGAGTTACATTAGTAGAATATGTGCAGAATAAGCTAACCATATTATAAATAATTGAACATAAAAATAATAATAATAATAATAGTCTATCTGTTACTTAACGAATGTGTTGATTTATATTTTATTTTACAATCGTAGTACTGTTAACGGTTTAAAATTTAATTTCCAGGCCAAATCGATGAATTTGGACGGGGATTAAGTGTGGGACAATTCGCGGCGGAGGGCAGATTAAAATCTAACAAGGAGTATATGTATATATTATATACATACACATATAATTAAAATGAATATGTAACTACGATAAAGGAATTTTTTGCAACGTTTTCGATACTAAACTCTCAAGTGGTATAATCATAATATAATAGTTTTTCTTTCAAATACTTGATAATAATAATAATAATAATAATTATTATAATAATTAAGTATGAGAGTTTAACTGATTTTTTAACACATTTCTCATACAACTTATATCAATATATATATATATTTATCAAGACGGGAAATTTAATGCCTTTTAAAATGAACACACTAGCTCTACTTATTTTCTATAAAATTACACTCAAAAATCCAAAAATCACTATGTGAATTATTTTTAAAAAAATTTATAATTTATTAAATTTGAAAAATAAGTAAAGCTACACAGAAAGAACAAGATGACACTAGCTATAATCTCAGATTATATCCAGTGTCATCTTGTTCTTTCTGTGTAGCGGATACTATTTTAAATAGAACGGCTTTTTTTTTTAAATGAGTAATCATTTAAAAGAACATTAAATTTCTAATCTTCCTAGCATTTATTTATACGTATATATATATTGTATTCAAATATTTACTACCTGCATATCACAACATAAATTTATATTTATATATATATATATTTATTTATTTATTACATCAATATTTATTTAAACGCACACTCACACTATTTTTTTTTTTTTTTTTTCATTGCAATTCGACTCATTCGTGTATTCGGCCTACGTAATTATAATAACACTGCGGTAGTAATTAGATAGTGATTGAAACTTTAAGCACTGTAGCATAACAATGTAATAATAATAATACTAATAATTACAACCACAATAATAATTTTAATAATAATAATAATAATAATAATCCAGAGAGCAGCTAGTCGATTACTAACAATAAGTATTGATAGGCTTAGCGGGTAGTAGTAGTAGTAGTAGTAGTAGTAGTAGTATTAATATTAGTAGTAGATAACAAACAATAACTTGACAAAAGTTAATAATTGATGTTACTTTAAAAATAACGTATTCTCACTCATCTCTGGATTGTTGTCTGAACGACAGTATCGCATTATAATCGCGTGCGACAATGATTCATACGAAGAAGAGAGGTCAGTGAACTTAGCGTTATTACTATACGGCAAGGCATTTAATAATAGAGAATACACATATTTTATAATTTGTCAGGCGTCTTTGTTGTTTTCGAGTACTCGTCCTTTGTTCATTTATTTATTTATCTATTATTCATTATTCATTAACTGATGAGCATGCTTTGTATTTATCGCTCTTTTATTTATTTTACAAGCATCAGTGCTAGAGTTGTTATTATTATTAATTATTATTATTATTATTTCTTTATTTCTTTTTTATTTTAACAAAACGGATTAATATTTTTTTTTGTCAACGCTCCGGTTCTCATAACAAACTTCCAACAGCTGATGAGCAATTACGTCAATTCAAAGGCTTGTCATAATAAAAATTATTATTATTATTATTATTATTACTATTACTATCCTTATCAATACTTATTATTATTAATAGTATTATTATTATTATCATTATTATAATTTTTAATTTATTATACAGTTTGGCTCTGACGCTATAATTATTGGTTTTATTTTATATATAATAATATTAAATCGTTCGAACGATATTAAACGTTGATGTAATGGCGTTTCTTGATACTAAATCCATTTTATTATTTTTTTAATAATAATATTATCTTCTTTTATATATAATAATTCTATTACAATAGTGTTTTATTGTATTGTGATGGTATGACAGAATCGATAAACAAAAGGTATACAGAGTGTGAATTTGTTGCGTCGATTGCTGGCGCCTTAACCGACGGTGAATTAAATAATAGCGTTAAATAATTAATAATTTTAGCTACATCGCTCGCAAGTTCAGTCACTAACGATTATACATACATAATCATATCATTTATCATTAAATCTTATAAACAATGGCTCAACTTGGAAATGTCCATCGGCTCACGTAATATGACCACGAGTAGTATTCCAAGGCAGCCAACATTTAGAGTATACAACAGGATGCTGAGCAGCAACTGCTTCCACCGCCTTTGCTCTTTTGTCTCTGATCTGAAACAATTCATTCAATATTAGTATACAGTAAATTCAAATTAATATTCCTTAAAATAAATTTACATTCAATTTAATCGATACTCTAATTTATTTTATCTTGTTGGTATCCACAAAATCACAAACATTGAATCAATTTTAATTTTATATTTAAAGTAACAATATTTGGAATAAGTTTCTGAATATTGAATTCGCCGTTTAAATTATATTATCTTATCAATAAATTTAACTGTCTTGTTAAAATTGTTTTTGTGGGTTATGATATTTTAGAATTAGGGCATCGATATATACATTTGTAAAAAGGAAGCGAGAAATAACTTGTTGGCAGAGTTGGAAAATTTAAAATGGAAAACGTCCTGCATTAGTCATTGTCATTATTCATTATTTCTTTATTTTTAGTGAAATTTTTAGCACCGATCCACCATGAATCCTGGCAGCTCCTATCTGATTGTTCCCAGTCCAAACAATCCAGAAAAGGTAATTCATTTTTATCAGAATCATTTTTTTTAGTCTCTTTTTAGGAGAAAAAGTTTATCTTTTAGTTTTAAATGAATAACTTTTGTGTGATAAATAAAAAATAATTATCTTTAGATTAATGAAACAAAAAACTCACGGACAAATGAGAAAGAAAAGAAGGAAGGGAGCTGGAGACTCTTTTGTCGACAATTAGTAATAATCATCGTCATCATCATTGTCACGAGGAACGAACATGTAATCACCGTTAGGAAGGAGACCTGGTTGGTTTTGGTGGTAAAAGAGTTGAGAGTATAATAGAAGGATATTGTTTGGATTAAAAACAATGACGTTCTATGATTAATCAGCGTTATTTTTTCTACTCACCTTGGGAATTAGGTTCAGGAAGATTTTCTCGAGGAACCAGATGCATAACTGTTGTTTTTCCAAAAGGAAGCCCCAGCGCACCGAGCGTAACATTGCTGTGTAAAAAACGACCCTGGTAAATTAATCGTAAGATTTCCGCCTTTGCCACGGCCTCTTCCGCCCAATCTGTAACCAATCGTAAGTATTAATACTTACGTATGTATTTCATCTGTGATTTTGTGTTTTTTTTTTTTTTTTTTATTTCTAACATCTGCTGTTTTGTTTTTGTGGTAAAAAAAAAAAAAAAAAAACTACTACAAGTTGAAAAGCCAGTTAAGTATTAAAGTCCCGTCGCAATATGTATATAAATATAAATTTAAATATATAAATGTAAAATGTAGAATTTAAAATGGAAAATGGAATGCGAAGAGATTAAATGTTTAATTAATGCATGAACTAGACAACTGACTTATCATATATTATTTTATGCAGCGGAAAATTATTTTATTACTTCAGTACAAGCTCAACAGATTTTTTACATTTTTTAATATTTCTCCAGTTATATATATATATATCCTTTCATCCTCTTGGAAGTACTTTCTCACGTCATAAGCAATGCTTTTATCAATACAACTGCAGACAAAATGCGACAGCTAAAAATATACTTCCTTACTGCGAAGTAATAAATTAAATTTACTCATAAATTATTTTATACCAAAATTTAGTTTTTAAAAAGTAAATCATTTTTTTCCGTGAGAAAAAAGAGAAGTTTTCTAAAATTTCTTCTCTGGAAGACAATAATAATAATAATAATAATATTAATTAAAATTAAATATATTTAAAATTACAGGACATTATTTTATATAATTAAATTAGATTCTAGGAGAATGTGGGTCACAGTGGAGAAATAAATAAAGGTGATAAGTAATAAGAACAAACCTTCCGGCCAATTTTCAAATACATGATGAGCTATGTCTCCTGCAGAGTCATTTGGACTAAATAGGAATTCTTTTGTCTTACCACTGACAAGAATTAGACGTAAGTTTATCTGTAATCATAAAAATATTAAATATTTAATTACTTGTTATCTTTTATCTTACAATAAAATGAAAGGTAAATATTTTTATTCGTTATAATAAAATTCTTTGTTGTAAAATAAACTCCTAAAACTGTTGAATGAATTAATTTTTATTCAATTCAGCAAGGGAGAGCTGTAGCAAATTTATAAATGAAAGATAACGTGGAAATTAATCCAGAGTGTGATCCTGCACGTTCCATAATAATTTACATGACAACCCTGGCACATTATCACCCAGATGCACACACAGTGTAATCAATCACTTGTCGAGTGAGCCAAAGGATCATCTTTAATCGTCAACAACGTGAGAGCGATGAAAAAATATAAATAATGTAGGTCACCGTACGGCTATCGATAATAACAACTACAACAAGAACATTTTATCATCAAACTTCCTCAACCGATCCGATTAGTCCTCTATCTTTTGTTTATTTATAAATAATATATCATTTTAAGATTTTACCTTGTGATACAATCATTGTCGTTTGTTCTTGTATTTTTTGCTGATCAACGCAACAACTATTAGGAGAGTTAATTGTCGACGGATGATTTAATGGAATGATGATGATAACGAAAAGTCATGAAGCTATAAAAAGTAAGTTATGTGGACGACGTTGTAGCAGATTTAATAATTCTAGGTCATATCACATGAAGCGAGCAAGCAGTACAAGTGATTTTGTGTCAGGGTTCTCACCAGTTAGTCCACAACTGATGACTCTCAACATTATTCAGCTCGATTTATATTAAATTGTTGGTAGGATTTGTTATATTTCTACTTTTATTCAGATCACTTGGATAGCAGTTACAAGTTTTGATCTAATTAATCGATATTCAATAGCAATGATGGCCATATTCATGGATTTTATTATCAAAATGGCTATGATGATGAACTTGGGAAAGATATAACATACAATAAATAGACATATCAGTTTACTGCTATAGCAATAATTTGCATTGATGTTACGGTTATGTCATCAATCTTTGAATGTAATTCATGTGTACGCTAGCCTTATCATTGAATTTTTTCCATTGTCATTATAAATAGTTGCTTGGTTATTTATAACCAGGTCTTTTGTAATCGAATAATTATTATAGCAACATCAGAAAATGGATATTTATAAAGTACAGTGTTGATAGTTGATAAAAATCTATAAAATTAGCATTATTTTCCGCAACTATTCATCAAAGTTTACTAAAAACAGTCTCTAGCAACTGTAACTGAAGGGTCAGAGCAGAAAGTTCAAGTGGGAAACAAAAGTTTTAGTTAAAAATGGTTTACAGGAAGTGTGAGCTTTCAGGAAAAATATATTAAAAAATGTTATTGTTGGTTGTATAACTTTCTGTTGTATTTACCTTCCAAATAATATTCCATAATTTTAATATAAACCTTTGTTTGCAGTAAGAAAACTTTACCAGAATGTTTTTTTAGTTTTTAATTAATGAATTAATGACTTCATTGCGGTTAAAATTAAAAAGGTTTTAATTTCGTAATTAGAACCGTCTGGATGAAGGAATGTCAGTCAACGTTGTGTCCCATTTTTTATATAACAACTTTATATTTTATGCACGCATAGAGAGAGCTAAAATATATATATTCATTTTTAATTACGAAATAACTATTATTTAATCTCTTAAATTTTCAAATTATTGGTTTTTGATTCCTGTTATTTTGCTGCTCTTGACATGAAATTCCAAAAATAAATAACACTTTACTCATTAATTAATTTTAATGCATGTCCAAAAGTAATTAGAGCTTTCAATTATTAAATTACAATCAATCAATAAAAATTCAAGTGAAAGATAACAAAAAAACATTGACTTAGATATTTCAACTAGTTCATAGAATTTTATAAATGAAATTTCTTAGTATTTTTATTATTAGAATCTGATATCAGTGAAGTACATTAAAAGATATCGATAATTAGGTATACCAATAGACTTATCGTTAATTCAGATTGACCGAGTAATAGCCGTTAATTGGTGTTGTTATGCGTTCAATGTTAAATGCGTCACGGCATACCTTGGGTCAAGGAGAAAAGTCAAAAATTAAAAATATTTATAATAAATGAAATAAAATAAAGAAATAAAATAAAGAAAAGATGAGGAAGGGAAGAGCACTTAGACAAAGTACATTTGAGAATATAGATAAAAAAAAAAAAAAATTGCAAGCGTGTGCTCACCTTGACTCGACATTAGGGACACATAATACAAGAGATATAAGAGGATAGCGGAGTCAGAGTCGGTGGTACTGTAGGATCAACCAAATCCAGGTCATTGGGACATTTGCAATGTGCATATGCGCACGCGGACTAATACTTACGGGCACATCCCTGCAACAACAGCAGCAGCAGTACCACCACCACCACCACCACCTTGGCCACCACCGCCACCGTCAGTTATATTATATACTTTTCAGACACTCCCCTAGAGACAGGATTTATCTATATGGTAGCTGTTCCTTTACTTATTCCTCATTCCTCAATGACTTTGAGAAGCCAAAGCCAACGCTGAACTTGCTTGAAAACGAGACCCAGCAGTATAGTACGTTGGATAATTCTCTCCATCACCAAGGACATCTAATGGTTTGTTTATGCACCTAGCACCTTGTCCAGGAAGCTCAACTCGAGGGAAAAAAATCGGTAAGCTTTTTGGCAAGGTTCCTACTCCTACGAGACCCAGATTAACACTCTCTATTCTACTGTAATGTCTGATTCATTTATTTATTATCTTTTTTCTGACAGATGGACGATTTATGGGGCTTGTACAATCGTTGTTACTTCTGATATGACTCGTGTAGCGCTTCTGACTTTATAAACAGTTATCTAAATATGATAATTTGTTGTTGCCACCCATTTTTTTACAATTTTATCATAAAAATAGTTACATTAATTGGGTTTATTCATGAATATATAGACTTTAACAAACACGTATAAGTAAGATCTATATAAATAGATTAATTTTATAATTTTGCCTTTATAAAGAAAAAATGATCACTGGAGGCTAAATAAGTAAATTTAAAGGATTTTTATACAAGAATATAATTGTCATAAAGTAATAATATTAAAAAAGCGGTTTACCTCAGTGGCATAATCCCGGAAAACATAACCGTGTAAATATACACTGTACGTGGGATGTGCAATAAATTAAATCCACGTGTATTCGATAAAACCTTACACTGGTGTACAAAGCGAATACACGTGCATAATACATATAACAGAGAAGATAGAACGAGCCAGCGATTACGACGAGTAAACATAATTAGCAAACTCTATGGCTATGGCTACAACTACATCTACATCTATATATCTACACATTTACAGGTACGAGAAATCCGATATGGTATTATTTTGTTGTAGCTGGACTTTACTCATCGTTAATAAAATCCCAAAGAAGCTAGAAACAACGAAGCCATACACTGGCTGTATTAGTATCGAGCTACCCGGTGACCGTTAACAAGGTACACCTTATATTTAATCATTTTATTGGATTGACCGACATATCTGTTAATTTCATTTTGCTCTATGGGTAATTGTCGTGTTGAATTTCGTTGGTGTTGCTTCTTCTTCTTCTTCTTCTTCTTCTTTTTCTTTATCATCTATCATGGAATCATGAAAAGACTGAATTAAATAATAGAAAAAGGGTTTGGATATAGAATAACTCGGGTATATAGTATTGCCTTTGATGTGTATTGTTGAGTGTAAAGTCGTGCGTCACACTATACAGGCATATCATTGAACGGCCTTAATACTACTCGTGACCTATCGATGTGAGACCCACCCGCTACCTGGTTACCTAGCTTGCTGCTTTGTTTTCCTCCTTATACTTCTTGCATTACTCATATATAATATCGATGATATAGTATATATTGTACATATTTATCATTTACATTATGATTATACATAATCAACGACAAATCGAAATAAATACACTTTCGATTTATACTTATAGAAATATTTATTTTATTAAATATTAACAAATACTTTTTGTCATTGTATCATCAAATTTCCTAAAAAAATTTTTGTGGTTTCTTATGACGAATTTTTTTTATTAATAAAAAAGAACGATTTGATACTCTGAAAGATTGTTTTGGGTTATTCCGAAAAAAACCTCAGCCGATTTGAACCGCTCGGATAAAAGTCACCCGCCCGGATGGGATCTATTGTGAAAAAAAGCGATATGAATTCCAGGCAAACAAAATTTAGTAGGTATGGGCGTCGATTAAGAATCAAGAGTGACTCATGCGTGGGTAGAGACCCAATAAGTAGTTACGGCAACAATTAAGCTGTTGATGACGGCTTAACGCGATAGACCGACTACATATACAGCTACATTGTGAGATTCAGTAGTTTATTTAGAAACCTGTCTTCTGTTAAGTTGTTCTCTGGTTCTCTGGTTCTCTGGTTCTCTGGTTATTGCTGGTATGCCGCCGACACACCCTCGGGACATTTAAGTTTTACCCCAAGGGCCCTTTCTTCCAGGCAACAGCTGCTTCGCTTTTCTCATGCTGTTACATACTGTCTTGATTGCTGTTACTACAATATCTTCTTATATTCCTTCTTGCTTCTCCTATTCATGTCTACACGGCATACAGTGATAAATATTGGGAGATAAATAATAGAGGAAAATTCAATGCCCTACAAGGGAGGAACACTAGATGGGAATTAGAAATAGGGGCTATTCAAAATCCCTAGTTGTCATTCGTTTGTCGGTCATTGACATGATTGCTCTCTTAGATTGACTATTCAAGTTGGGATGGGAATTAAAATTAAATGGACAAGGGAGAATACATGTGTAGCTCAAGAAAAATTGATTCATGAGAAATCATTTTGAAAATTTCACTGTTTTTGCTTGCTTTAAAAATATTTCTTCTAGATCAAACTCTTAAAAATAATCTCGGCTCAAAATTTTATCTCTCGAGCCATTATAAATTTTTTTTTATCAATATATTCTATTTTGAGAGCTCCAACAAACTAAAACTTGTGGGAACAA